ATTCTTGATAAAATTTCAATTTTTTTCAAAAATTTTCCTTAATTCAAAGATTTTTGATATTTTCTATTTTAATAAATTTTTTCAAAAGAATTCTATTATTTAAAAAAAATATTGATAAAATTCTAAACAAACATTAAATTATTTTCATAAATAATAAAAATTTCACTGGAATTCAACTATTTACCAATTATTTTTTTTTTATAAATTTCTTCGCAATAATTCAATTATTTTCAATTATTTTTAATACAATTTTAATTAAATTCATCGAAAAATGTAATTTAAAATTTTTCATAAAGTTCGTCAAAAGACTTTAATTATTTAAAAATTTGTTAATAAAATTCTTTATGAGAATTAAATTTCAAGAAACATTCAATTATTCAATAAATTATTTATTTTTATTTTTAAATAATTGAATTCTCGTAGAATTTTTTTAATAGAAATTGATTTAAAATTGAATTTCAGTTAAAATTTTAAATAATAATTGAATATCAAAATGAAGCATGAATTTTTAAAAATAATTGATTATTTTAAACAGGTTTCAAATTGAAATTTTTGAAAATTTGAGTTTTTCATACTTTTAACTGATACTTCTGTAGAATTATTTTTTTTGGAAAAGTTTAATTGAATTTTACTTGAAATTATTATTTGAATTTTCTATTTTCTTAATATTTAATTCAAGAATTTACGAATAATCAAAATTTTGTAACATTGAATTGTAAACAAATGGCTTTGAAAGTTTTCAAGGAACTTTTGCAAAAATTATTAAAAATAATTGATAATAATTTGATAATTGAATTCTTTCGAAGAATTTTAATAAAATTTTTGAAAATAATGACATTTTTTGAAGAATTTACTTAAAATTGTATTATAAATAATTGAAACCCTGTGAGGAATTTTATTGTTTAGAAAAATAATTGGATTGTTCCGAAAAATGGTATTATTTATAAAAATAATTGAAGTCTTGCAACGAATTTTGTTATATTTTTTAAATAATTGAAATCCTATAAAGTATTTTATTATTTATGAAAATAATTGAATTCTTTCAACGGATTTTATTACATTTCTTTTAAATAATTGAATTCTTTTGAGAAATTTTATTAAAATAGTAGATTTTGAAAATATTTTAATTTCAGCGAAGAATTTTCATTATTTGTGAAATGTAATTGAATTCTTGGAAAAAAATTTTAAAAATCATTACATTTTTTGAAGGAATTAATTTGAAATTCAATTGTATTAAAAATAATTGAAATCCTATGAAAAATTTTATTATTTATGAAAATAATTGAATTCTTATAATGAATTTTATTACATTTCTTTAAATAATTGAATTCATGTGAAAAATTCTATTACTTGTAAAAATAATTGAATTCTTGCGAAGGATTTTATTAAAATTTTTGTAAATATAATTTGATTGTTTTTGAATAATTTTTTGAATATTTAAATTATTATAAGTTGTTGAATTTCATAAAGGTTTGAATTTGAAATTTTTTAAAAACTAAGGTTTTTAAAAAATTTCAAATTTTTATGGAATAATAATAATTATTAAATATTTATTTGAAAAAGAATTTATTGATGTTTTCGAATAATTTTACAATTAAAAAAATTCGTAAATAAATGTAATAGACCATTTTTTTGAGTACCTAATAATTTTTAGAGTGAATCGGAATATTCTTTAGGCTCAGGGGAAAAGTGAAAATTTTCTCTGTAAATCAGTGAAAAGTCAGGGAAAAACAAAATTAATTTTTTGTGGCAACCCTGATTATATAAAAATAAGAAAAAATGGGAAAAATGTTTCTGTCAAAATTATATGTTATTGTCTTAAACTGAGCGAAATGAAAATAATTTTTTCTTAAAATCACAGTATGCGGTGCTAAATCTCGTCAATTTGTGCGAGTTAGTGCGCATGGTATTCAGTTGACATTACTCCTTTTATCATGGTCATTAACATACAGTCTACATTTCATATTAAAGAATTGTATATAACTTTAAATACGAGGCTTGAATAGACTTACTTTCTTGAATTTATTCATAATTAAGTTCACTCGAAGAATAATGTACAATATCTTCTTTTATATGGAGAAATGTGTTATATTATAACTACGCGGTAACTTATAATGTATGTACGTAGAGATAAAAGAGCACTATATACGTATATAACAACTTGATAAAGCACATTTTATGAATAATTTTATCTTCGAATGTTACAAAGCACTGAAAACAAAATACGATAAAGAATTTATAGCACGTGTTCTCTATTAAAATTTTTGTATTTGGAAAAATATTTCCAATATCTGATTATGAATATTTCTTAGGTAATATAATAAATAGAGTAGAGTATTTCTTAACATAATAAATAAAGTATTTCTTTACATAACAAATACAGTATTTTTTTACATAATAAATAGAATAGTTCTTAACATAATAAATAAAATACTTCCTAACATAATAAATAAAATACTTCTTAACATAATAAATGAAATACAAATAAAATAAATAATGAAGTAAATAAATATGATAATAAATGAAGAATTCAAATGAATAAAATAAAATAGTTAATGAATTTCATTTATAAATTTCTACTTTTTGATTTAAATAAATATAATATCTACCTAATTCATTTAAAAACGTTGGTTTATAAATTATATTTGTCAATTAGAAAATTTAATTGAAAATGAAACTAAAAATTTTTGAATTTTTAGAAAATAAAGGAAAAAATTTTATTGAAAAAAATGTTCTGTTAAATTTATTTATGAATTATCTTTAATTGTAAAATTATTCGAAAACAATAAATTTTTTTTGAAATATTTTAAATATTGAATTATTATTTTTCCGTAGGAATTAAAATTCTTCAAAACATTCAAATTCAAACCTTTTCGAAATTAATCAATTTTAAAAATATTGTTATAAAACATAAAGATAACGATTACTCCGAGTCTTCGACTCGGAGTAATCGTTTTCTTCATGTTTTATAATAATTAAAGAGAAGGGAGTGTTAAAATCATTATTTTATATTATAAGAATACTGATACTGTAACTTCTCAAAAATTATTTTCATATTCTATTATTATATAAAATTTAAAATAAAATTCATTTTCAAATCAATTTTTATTAGAAAATTCTACGAGAATTCAATTATTATTAAATAGAAAAATTTTTAATTTATTGAATAATTAAATGTTTCTTAAAATTTAATTCTTATAAAGTATTTTATTAACAAATTTTTACATAATTGAATTGTTTTGACGAATTTTAATAAAATTTTTCAGAATAGTTATATTTTTCAAGAAATTCGATTAACATTGTATTAAAAATAATTGAAATTCTGCGATGAATTTTATTATTTCTGAAAATAATTTGATTATTAAATATTTAGAAAATAAAAACTTTAAATAATTTCAAAAAGAAATTCAATTAATTCTACAGAATTTTTAATTAAAAGTATGAAAAATTTAAATTTTCAAAGATTTTAATTTAAAACCTGTTCAAAATTCAATTATTTCTAAAAATTCATGCGAGAATTCAATTATTTAAATACAAAAATAAATAATTTATCGAATAATTGAATGTTTCTTGAAATAAATTTAATTCTCATGAAGAATTTTATTAACAAATTTTTAAATAATTTAATTTCTTTTGGCGAATTTTAAGAAAAATTTTAAATTACATTTTTTTAAGGAATTTGATTAAAATTGTATTAAAAATAATTGAAATTCTGCGATGAGTTTAATTATTTATGAAAATAATTGAATCTCTGTAAAAAAAATTTATTATTTCTAAAAATAATTGAATTCTTGTAAAGAAATTAATAAAAAAAATTTGGAAATAGTTGAATTCCTGTGAGATTTTTATTATTTATGAAAATAATTAAATATTTGCGTACAATTTTATTAAAATTATTTTTAAATAATTGAATTTTTTGGGTCATTTAATAAAAAAGTAGATATTGAAAATCATTCAAATGAGGAAAATTTTTGAAAATAATTGAATTTTGCAGAAGAATTTTTTTATTTATAAAGATAATAATTGGGATTTTGTCGAGATTTTATTGTAAATTTTGAACATAATTGAATTTTGCGATAAGAATTTTATTTCTTTTGAAAATAATTGAATTTCTGCAATCATTTGTAACTTCTTCAAAATTCAATTTTTTTTTTAGTGTTTTTAACTAAAAGTCCACTTTAAATACATTATTTTCAATAATTAATTAAATATATATTGACAAATTTAACTAATTTTAGAAAATTTTGAATTATTAAAATTTTTCAAAAATCTAAGTTCATTAAAATTTCTAATTAAATTGTTTCAACATTGAAATTTTGAATTCAAAATTTAAAAATTTCAAATTGAAACCGTTTGAAGTTAATTTATTTACGAAAATTGTAAACGCAACTCTTTTAAAATTGAATTAATTTTGAAATACTTAAGTAAAATTATTAAATAATTTTTTTATTCTATGATAGTTGTTCAAGATTTAAGTTATTTAAAAAGAAATTCTTGTCAGAAATTGAAAAAATTGAATGTTTTGTATTAGAATTTGTGGTAATTTTATAGTTTATGAGTCAAACAAAAAAGATACAAAAATTCATAATTTTCTTATAAATTCTAAGAATTAAGTACTATAGTTAGTTAATTAAGTACTTTTTAGTACTTTTAATAGAAATTCCTAACTTTTTCCTGAATTCCCTATGTCAGAATATATGATTATTATAATTATATTATTAAAACTATAAATTTCAATTCATATTTTTTATTTTTATACACAAAAATTTGAATTAAATTTTTTACGTTCTATTATTTTTAAAATTACTAATTTTATTTAAAAATGTGAGTAAAAAGTTAGCCACGCGCGAATTGCTGCTAGTAAGAATAAGTAAAAGAATAAGAATAAAAGGAAAAAGAATAAAAAAAAGAATTAGATTTAGTTAAAAAATAAGAAAAAGAATAAGAATAGGAATAAAAAAAGTATTTAATGTAATAATGTTGTTTTTGATTGATTTCAGTCGGACATTGTGCATCAGAGTGTCTATGAATTGGTGCATAGTGAAGATCGAGAAGAATTGCAGAGACAATTAATGTGGAATTCATTCCTGCCGGCCGAGAGTGCCACCCTTCCTCTCCACGATGCTCTCTCGCCGCAACACAGCCACCTTCTCGAACGAAGTTTCACGGTGCGGTTCCGCTGTCTGTTGGATAACACATCCGGTTTTCTGGTACGTACTCCTATAATTATGTCGATTCGTATGCAATTCTCAACTTTCATGAAATAAAAAGCCGTGTAACGTCTACTATCTCAATGCATCCGGGCACCATACATACACCATTTCTTCTTTTATCGATTCACGGAATAACACACACTCTCCCTATATATTGATACTGGAATGCTCCTTTATTATTTATTTTCCCTTCAAAGCAAATTATATTCACCTCTTCATAATTATTAAATGAACGAGGAGGAATAAAAAAAATCACTTTTCTTTTTATTTTCTTTTGAAAATTTTTAATTGTAATTATTCTCTAGGAAAATATTAATTTTCTTCGCATTCCAAATTAATAATTGCGTTAATTATTACCCATAGTTGGGCTTTTTTTAATTTTTTCTATTTATTATTAATTAAATTATATTATTAGTACCTAAACAATTTTTTTATTTTACTCTTTTTTTAGTTTTCTTGTTGAAACAATAAAACCAAAAAAAGGAGTAAAATAAAAATTCTCTCTCCACAAAAATTTAATTTTGTTTTTCCCTGATTTTCAGACAAAATTTCGACTTTTTTCCTGGCACTAGAGAATATTTTGATTCACTCTAAAAATGATTAGATACACACAAAAATTTTCTATTGAATTTAATTACAAATTTCTTTAAGTGTAAAATTAATCAAAAACTTCAACAACTTCTTTTTTAAATAAATAATCATTATTATTTTTCCATATGAATTAAAATTTTCAAAAATTTCCAATTCAAAGCTTTTGAAATTCAATAACTTATTATAATATTGTTACTGTAACTTGTTCGAAATTATTTTCATCATTTCAATTTAATTATTATTTTCAAGAATTTTCAAATAAAATTCTTCTTTACATCAATTATTATCTACATAAATTTTTAATAATTTTTGACACAGTTCTTGGAGAATTTTCAAATTCATATTTTTTCAATTCAATTTTACAAAAATTCGAATATTCGACAATTCTTCAATTAAATACGTAGATTAGGAAATAAAAATTTGAAATAATTTCAAAAAATTTCAATTCAACTTTTTCAAAAAAGGAAAAAAAATAGTTCCACAGAATTTTAAATTAAAAGTAAGAAAAATTCAGATTTGCAAAAATTTCGATTTGAAGCCTTTTCAAAATTCAATTACTTTTAAAAATTGCAATTATTTGTCACTTTTCAAAAATTCAGATATTATTTAAAACTTTAACTGTGAGTAATTTTTTAATCAGATTTTGTTACAAAATTTTACAAAAATTCAATTATTATTCAAAACTTTAACTGAAAGTAAATTTTGAATCAACTTTTATTAGAAAATTTTACGACAATTCAATTATTTAAATACAAAAATTTAAAATTTATTGAATAATTGAATGTTTCTTAAGGGCATTTGAACCATTATGACGTCACAATTTTAAAACTCATGCTTTGCATACATTGTGACGTCATAATGGTTCAAATGCCCTTAAAATTGAAATTTAAAACTAAAATTTTATCAAGAAATTTTTAAATAATTGAATTTTTTTCGATGAATTTTAATAGAATTTTTAAGAATAATTGAATTTTTTCGACGAATTTTAATAGAATTTTTAAGAATAATTGAATTCTTTTCAGGCAGTCAATTAAAATTGAATTAAAAATAATTGAAATTCTGTCATGATTTTCATTATTTTTAAAAATAATTAAATCCCTAAAAATAATTTCAATATTTATGAAAATAATTGAATTATTTCGAAGAATTTCATAAAAAAAAATGTTGAAACAGTTATTTTAAATAATTGAATTCCTGTAAGATTTTTATTATTTTATGGAAAATAATTGAATGTTTGTGTAGAATTTTGTCGAAACTTTTTTTTTTCAATAATGAAATTCTTTTGGAAAATTTTATTATAATTGTAGATATAAAAATCAAATTGAGGAAAATTTTTGAAAATAATTGAAATTTCGACATGAATTTTATTTAAGTCTTGGAAAATAATTGAATTACTGAGAAGAATTTTGCTATTTAGAAAAAAAAATTCAAGTTACTTTTGAAAATAATTGAATTCTCGTGATGAATATTGTTATTTATGAAAATAATTGAATTTTGCAATGAATTTTATTAAAATTCTTGAAAATATAATTGAATTTCTGGGAAGAATTTTGATATTTAGCAAGATAATTGAATTCTTTTGAAAGGAAGAATTCATTAAAATTCTTCACAGAAATTCAATTATTTTCAGGGATTTTAATAAAATTCATTGCAAAATTCAATTACTTTCAAAAATAACAATATTCATTACAAGAATTCAATTATTTTTAAAATTAATAAAATTCTTCGCAGAAATTCAATTATCAAAAAAAAATTATCGTCAAGATTTCAATTACTTTTCTAAATAAAAAAATTTTTTGCCATAATTAAATTATGTTAAAAAATTTTGCAACGAATTTTATTAAAATTTCGGAAAATAATTGAATTATATTGTGAGGCAAACAAAAAAGACACGAAAATTGTTAACAATTGTTAATTAGCAGTAAATCTTGCTTTAAAAAAACTAAAAAGATGGATAAAATTCTATTGTCTGTTGAAAATGAATGAAAATCGTGTGAAAATGTTTTCCCCTTTGTTAAGTGCGTAAACGACGATTAGTATAATGAAGGTATGGTGACCGCGAACGATTGGTTGCGGAGCAATTTTTGTCTTTTGGTGAGCGAGCCAACTCATTCAGAATATATGGTCGTCGCCTGTTTCTCCACGCTCACAAGGACAAAGTGCCGACGTACAAAACAGTAATTAATAATTTCACTGTCGTAAAGTGGAAAAGAACGAGTCGATAAGAGAAACGTCCCGCGGTGTGGACGACGGGAAATAAGAAAAAAAATGGAGAGAAAGAAAAAATGAAAGGAAAAAATGAAAAACAAAAAAAGAAGGAAAGAAGAAATAAGAGAGAAAGAAAGAAGAAAGAGGAGAAAAAGGAAAAAAGAAATTAAATGAAAGAAGAAAGAAAAAAGAAAAGGAAAGAAGAAAGGGAAAAATAAGGAAAAAGAAATAAATTGATAGAAGAAAAAAGGAAAAAAGAAAGAAGGAAGAAAGAAAAAAGGAAAAAATGAGAGAGGGAAAGAAGAAAGAGGAAAAAAAGGAAAAAAAATTAAGAAGGAAAGAAGGAAAACAGAAAAACAAAAAAAGGAAATAAAAAATGAAAGGAGAAAAAAGAAGAGAAGGAAAGAAGAAAAAAGAGAAGAGGAAAAAAAGAAGGAAGGAAGGAAAGGAAATGAGAGGGTGTATATGCTATAAGGGCAAACTGAACTGCTAACTGTAGAGTCTAAGCCTTCCTCTTAATAAACCTCTTCTTCGAAGATAATTGCTTTTTTCTGTAAACCCTCGGCGAGTACATTAACAACCGACGAGTACTCTATATGAACCCACTTAAAGATTCACTGGAGAAAAAAATTTTTAAAGAAAATTAACTTTAACGGAGCCTGTATAAATATTATAAATAGCGTGTGTAAATTTTTCCACTGTCAGTATATTTTTATCTTTTCATCAAAAAAAATATGACAGGCAAAAATTTTTTTACATCTATTTAACTAAGAAAACAATAATTACAATTTAATATAAAATTATAACATAGAATAATTACCTACAAATAATTAATTTTAAGACAAAATGATTCAAAATGTCTTGTCTGACTTAAAAATACTTTTACTACTGAAAGTATTTCTTTATTTTAATATTAATAATTTTACTAAGAAAATAACACTGCCAGAAAAATCTTATTCTATTAGCTATAAAATTACAATAAGAATCAAAACTTCTTGCTAACTTTTCTAAATAAAATTTACAACTTTAAAAATAATAGAATTTAAAAATTTTTTTAATTCAAATTTCTGTTGAAAACATTTAAAAAATTGAATATTTATTTTAAAAAAAGAAGTTTTTAATGTTTTCGAATAATTTTATACAATGAAATAAATGTAATAGAACATTTTTTTGAGTAAAATTTTTTCCTTTATTTTCTAAAAATAAAAAATCATAATTTTTTTTTTAACAATTTTCTATTTTTTATAAATAAAAAGGAGAGAAATTTGCATATATTTAGATCAGTCAAACAAAATTTGTTATAAAAAAAAGCATATAATAAACAATATTCATTTCTTAATTATAATTTTTAAAAAAATTTTCCAATTTTCTCATTTCAAATATTATTTTATTATAAATCATGAAAAAATACTTGCATTCAATTTGTTAAATAATATTTTTTAAAGAAAAAAAAACAAAAGCATATACACAAAAATTAACTTTAAAGTGTGGACAGAAAGAATGAAAGAATTAAATACGAAGATTATTATAGTTAATTACATTATAAATATAATATAATATAATGGGAAAATAAGTCTAACAAAAATATACTTTTGCTACTGAAGCCAAAATTACAAAAATTCAAACATTGCAGATTATTGTCTGACGCAAATTTGCTTCTACTATACTAATAATAAAGTATAAAAATAAAACAACTGACTAACATTTTATCTCAATTATTGACAGTAATATTTCTAGTATATATTTCAAATGTCGGGGTAAAACTGACATTTTCTATACTGATTCGAAACTATTAACAATTTAGAAAGTCTGCCAAAAATATACTTTTTCTACTAGAATCGGAATTATTAGTTATTTACTACTTTTATTTTAAAACTACAAGTCGGACTGAAAGGATATTCTACTGAAGTAAAGAAAATTAAAACTAATAGTCTGACTTAAATTTGGCTTTACTACTGAAAATACTGAAAATACTTAAAATACTAAAAATACTAAAAATACTAAAAATACTAAAAATACTAAAAATACTAAAAATACTAAAAATACTACAGTACTAAAAGTACTAAAAACTACTGAAAGTTCTAATCTACTGAAACTAAGTCTGACTTAAATTTGGCTTTACTACTAAAAATACTAAAAATACTAGAAATACTAAAAATACTAAAAATACTAAAAATACTAAAAATACTTAAAATACTTAAAATACTAAAAATACTAAAAATACTAAAAATACTAAAAATACTAAAAATACTAAAAATACTAAAAATACTAAAAATACTACAGTACTAAAAGTACTAAAAACTACTGAAAGTTCTAAACTACTGAAACTAATTCTGACTTAAATTTGGCTTTACTACTAAAAATACTAAAAATACTAGAAATACTAAAAATACTAAAAATACTTAAAATACTAAAAATACTAAAAATACTAAAAATACTAAAAATACTAAAATACTACAGTACTAAAAGTACTAAAAACTACTGAAAGTTCTAAACCACTGAAACTAAGTCTGACTTAAATTTGGCTTTACTACTAAAAATACTAGAAATACTAAAAATACTAAAAATACTAAAAATACTAAAAATACTAAAGATACTAAAAATAATTAAAATACTAAAATACTAAAAATACTAAAAATACTACAAATACTAAAAATACTAAAAGTATTAAAATTACTTTAAAAAATACTGGAAGTACTAAACTTTTAAAACTACCAAAAATACCATTTTCTACTCTCTGTATAAAATACTAATAAAAATTAAAACAATATGAATTTGTCTGACGAATACTCCCTTTTGCTACTAATATTGAAACTACAAGTCTGACTAAACAGCCACCTTCGCTACTGAAATTCAAGAATTTAATGCAAGAATTTATTGCTCAAGTTAAAATTGACTTTGACTACTTTTTATCTTTATATAGAATAAACTTAGAATAAAATCACTTTGTCTGACCAAAACTGTTTTACACTACTAGTTACGAATTACGCCTTAAAAAATGTCCATATGTTAATCAAGTAAATTAATAATAAGCGAATAAAAAAAGTTATTTTCAATAATTTTCTATCTACTTTTTCAGAGATTAGACATTAGGGGCCGAGTGAAAGTGCTTCATGGACAAAATCGAAAAACGGAGGAGCCACCATTAGCTTTGTTCGCCCTCTGCACTCCATTTGGACCGCCTTCATTGTTGGAGGTGCCACAGAAGGAAGTGATGTTCAAAAGCAAGCATAAACTCGATCTTGCACTCGTCTCAATGGACCAGCGGGGAAAAATGCTCCTCGGTTATTCAGACTCGGAATTAGCTAATCTCGGTGGTTATGATTTAGTTCATTACGATGATTTGGCATACGTTGCCAGTGCTCATCAGGAATGTAAGTATCTATTTTCTTTTCTCTCTCAAAAAAAAAAAAAAATATATAAATTTTTATTCATTTATTAATTTATTTTTTAATCTGAATTTCGATTTAGAATTTAGTTTCATGATTTATCTCTCTTACAGTACTCAAAACGGGAGCGTCAGGTATGATCGCTTATAGATTTCAAACGAAAGACGGAGGCTGGCAATGGTTGCAAACTAGTTCGAGATTAGTGTACAAAAACTCCAAACCTGACTTTGTCATTAGCACTCATCGACCTCTCATGTAAGATTTATTTTTTTAATTCGATAAATAAATTCTATACATGTAAAATTAAAATAATTTAGAAAATAATTCTATACAATTAAAATAATTTACGAATTAATTCTATAAAATTAAAATAATTTACGAAATAATTCTATAAAAGTAAAATAAAATCCACAAAGTAATTGTAATTTTCGCAGTTATTTTTTAATTATAGCCAATCAGTAAAAAATGACTGATATTTTAGTAATTCACTTGACTAATAAAAAATCAAATGATTTTCAGTAAAATTTTGACTGATCCTTGGTGGAATTATAGATATTAACAAAAAAATTAATAAAAATAAAAAAATAAATTTCATTAATAATTGAAATAAATAAACTAGTCTCAAATAAATTTTAATAAAATTCTTTGAAACGATTCAATTATTTTCAAAAATTTTAAGAAAATATTTAGTAAGCATTCAATTATTTTCATAAATGATAAAATTTTTCACGGAAATTCAATTATTTAAAATACTTTTAATAAAATTCGTTGCAAGAATTCAATTATTAAAAAAAAAATTTTAACAAAATTCTTTTTAAAAATTCAATTATTTTCAGATATAATAAAATTTTCACAGAAATTCAATTATTTGAAATACAATTTTCATAATATTTTTTGAAAGAAATTAATTATTTCCAAATTTTTAAAATATTCTTCAAATAAATTCAATTATTTAAAAAAAATGTTATTAAAATTCTTTGCAAGCATTCAATTATTTCGATAAATAATAAAATTCGAGTCTAAAATTCTTCACAGGAATTCAGTTATTGAAAATACTTTTAATAATTATTAAATTTATTGCAAGATTTCAATTATTTAAAAAAAATTTTACTAAAATTCTTCAGAAAAATTCAATTATTTTCAGACATAATAAAATTTTCCTAGAACTTTAATTATTTGGAATACAATTTTCATAAAATTTTTTGATAGAAATTAATTATTTTAAAAAAGTTTATATAAAATTCTCCGAAAGAAAAAATTACATTTTATTTTTGATAAAATTTGTTTATAACTATTCATTTATCTTCCGTACAATATTGTAATTATTTTCCTCAAAAGAATTTAATTAATTTCAAAATTTTTAAATAAAAAAAAAGTTCTTCACAGGAATTCAACTATTTAAAAAATGTTATTAAAATTCCTTGCAAGAATTCAATTATTTTTATAAATAATAAAATTCTTCGCAGAATTTGAATTATTTTTTATGCAATTGTAATAAATTTCTCGAAAAATGCAATTAATCATAAAAATTTTATCAAAATTATTTAAAGGAATTAAATTATTTTTTAAAATTTTGCGATAAAATACTTTGTAATAATTTAATTTCAAGAAATAATAAATTATTCAATCAATTATTGGTTTTTGTGCTTAACTAAATTTTCGTGCAACTTTCTAATAAGAATTGATTTAAAAATTAATTTCAGATAAAATTGTAGATAGCAATCAAATTTTAGTAGCTTTTAAATTATTTAATTTAGAAATTATGTAAAAAAAATAGTCTTTTGAAAAATTGTTATTAACATTTGTTGTAGTCAATTAAATTCTAGTAGATAATTTTAAAAAATTAAATTTAACTCAAATTTTTTCACTTTTAAACAAGATTTTTAAGGAGAGACTTTGACTACATTTTTAACTATATCAAGAAAATGTTTTAAGTCTTCTATAAAATTATTTTTATCTTTATAGTGATTTTTTGAGAGGAAATCAATGGTCAGAAAAATATTCTCACCCTTTTTGAATTTTTATTTCTCTTAAAAATTGATACCATTTTTTTATATGGAAATTCACTTATTGTTTATTTTTCTAATTAATTTCAAATCATAATTTTATCATAATTTTTTTTTTACTTTATATTTTAAAAAATTATGATTTGAAATTAGTTTGAAAAATAAACAAGTGAATTCCCATATAAAAATTTCTATAACAATGGTATTTTACAAAAACATATTTTTTTTTTTAAATTAAGGATGGATTTTAAAATCTATCAATTTTTAAGAAAAATAAAAATCCAAAACGGGTCACAATATTTTCTGACCATTGATTTTCTCTCAAAAAAATACTATAAAAATAATTTTATGAAAGATTTAAATCATTTTCTTGATATAGTTAAAAGTGTCGTCAAAAAGTTTCCCCTTAAATTATAAATAATTATTAAATTATTATTGAAGAATTCTGACTAAAAATTTAGGAAATAATTAAGTTTTAGAAGAAATTTAAAATTGAAGTTACTTTTTACTACTTTTTTCAGTCTTAAAAGCTACTTTTTGCTACTTTTTTAAAAGTAATTATCGAGTGCAAAGCCTGTTATTTGCTTATCATAATAGTTAACATTTGATTATATTTTTTATAAAAATGAAAAGATCTAAATACGGTTTTTTTTTATTTATTATTATTATTGTATTTTATTTATATATTTTTTTATTTACACAGTTTTTCTACGGATATCAAATTGAAACAAAAAAACGTATAAAAAATGTTGCGAAGCAAAGTTTTGTATTTTTTAATTTTTTTTTTTCAAATTAAGATAAAAAAAAGTATCAAAAATGTTGCGAAGCAAAGTTTTGTATTTTTTAATTTTTTTTTTCAAATTAAGATAAAAAAAAGTATCAAAAATGTTGCGAAGCAACTTTTTTGACTTTTTTGTCTCAATTTGATAATCTTAGAAAAAAATTTGTGAATTATTATATTGATGATAATAAAAATGATATTATATTGATAATAATTGTATTATAAATGAAATTCGATTTTAGGGAGGAGGAAGGTAGAGATTTATTAGGAAAGAGAACAATGGACTTCAAGGTCAGCTATCTGGACGCAGGACTAACCAACAGTTATTTTTCTGATAGCGATAGTCTGACAGGTTCAACGATGACACCAACAATTCCTGCGCAACCAACGCCACAGCGTGTTAATAGGCGTTACAAAACGCAATTGAGGGATTTCTTGTCGACCTGTCGAAACAAGCGCACCAAATTGTCGAATCAATCGTCGATATCGCCACCCGCAACGCCAACAGTCACGTCTGTCGACTATTTGACAGCCGACACAAGTGCTGCAGCTGCCGTTGCTGCAGCGTACAGCAATCTCAATCCAATGTACGCAACGCCTTATGCACCAGCTGCCGTTGCAACCGCGACCGATCCCTCCTTAACCACCTACATCGGTCACACCAGTAACTATCATCAGACACTCTATCCGACAACTGCTCTCGATAACAGGTGAATTTCTCCCCAATTTATAATTTTTCAATAAATAAATAAATTATTAAATGCATATTTAATTAATTAATTTTTTCTAATTTTTAATTCTTTTTTATTTCCTATTATTGTTTATAGAATATTTATTGTTTTATTTTTGCTGTTTAGAATTGAATTGTATTATTCAGGGATGCCTTCAAGTCAGGGAAAATCATCGAATTTGAAGAAAAATCAGGAAAAACTGAAAATTCAGGGAAACTTCAGAAGATTTTAAACTAAAATTTAAGAAAAAAATTCAATTATTCTGAAAAAGATTTATTTATTTAAAAAATTATTGAAGTTTAAGAAAATTCTACTTAAAATTATTTAAATTACGTTTTTGAGAAATTGAACAATTTTAACATATTAAAGAATTCAATTATTTTCAAACATTTTAAAAAAATTTTCAAGAATTCAATTGTTTTTATAAACAATAAAATTAATCACAGGAATTCAGTTATTATCAATTATTATTATCAAATATTATTATTATTATTATTCAATTATTTTCCAAAGTTTTAATATAATTTTTTCAAACAATTCAATTATTTTTAGAAGTTTTAATAAAATTTTTTGCAGAAATACAATTATTGTTTTCTAAAATTTAGATAAATTTCTGAGCAGAAATTCAATTATTTGTAAAAGTTTTAGTAAAATTTCTCGAAAAAATTCAATTATTCTTAACGGTTTGATAAAGATCTTAGCAGAAATTCATTTATTTTTAAAAGTTTTAGTAGCATTTTTCGGAAAAAATCAATTGTTTTTAAAGATTTCATCGCAGAAGTTTTAATAAAATTTCTCAAATGAATTGAATTTTTAAAGAAATTGTATTAAAATTCTTTGCCGAAATTCAATTATTTTTAACATTTTTTCTAAAATTCTTTGAAAGAATTCAACTATATTTAAACATTTTAAGAAAATTTTCAAGAATTTAGTTGTTTTATATAAACAATTAAATTCATCACAGGAATTCAGTTATTATCAATTATTATTATCATTACTATTATTCAATTATTTTCCAAAATTTTAATATAATTTTTTAAAACAATTCAATTATTTTTAGAAGTTTTAATAAAATTTTTTTTGCAGAAATCCAATTATTTAAAAAAGTTTTAGTAAAATTTCTCGAATGAATTTAATTATTTTTAATACAATTTCTATAAAAAATTTCTCAAATAAATTAAATTTTTTTAAAAATTTTTATTAAAATTCTTTGCCAAAATTCAATCATTTTTAAAACTTTTAGTAAAATTCTTTGAAAGAATTCAATTGTGTTCAAACATTGTAATAAAATTCTTCAGAGGAATTCAATAAATTACTTTCAATAGAAATTTAACTAAATTCATCGAAAGAATTTTATTTTTTTAAAGAATTCAATTATTTAAAAAAATTTTTATAAAATTCTTGTAAGAATTCAATTATTTTCATAAATAATAAAATTCTTCGGAAAAATTCAATTATTTTCAATACGAAATTCCTCGAAAGAATTTTAATTTTCTTTGAAGCAATTGAATTATTTTTAATAATTTAAAAAAAATTAATCGAAAGAATTCAATTGTTCAAAAAAAAATTTAATACAAAATGCTTGGAATAAATTCAATTATTTCAAAAATTTCAATAAAATTCTTCGCAAGATTTCAATTACTTTTATAGAAACAATAAAAATGTTTCTTGATGAAGTTCAATTATTTTTATAACCAATAACTTTTTTCGCAGGAATTCAATTATTTCTATAAACAATAATATTCTTCGCAGGAATTCAATTATTTAAAAAATTTCAATAAAATTCTTCATAAGATTTCAATTATTTTTAGAAACAATAAAATTATTCACAGGAATTCAATTATTTTTAATACAACTTTATTGCAATTTCTCAAGAAAATTCAATTATTTTTATAAATAAAAAAATTACTCGAAGGAATTCAATTATTTTCAATACAATGTAAACAAAATTTGTTGATTCAATTAAATTATTTTGAAGAATTTTCTTAAAATCCGTCAAAAGATTATTCAATTATTTTCAATACAATGTCAATGAAATTTTTGCTGCAATTCAATTATTTTTGAAAGTTTTTAATATAATTCTTCTAAAAATTTCATTTATTTTTAAACTTTTTATTAAAATTTCACAAAAGAATTGAATTATACAGAATACTTTTAATACAATTATTCAATAGAATTCAATTGTTTTCAAAAGTTTTTTAAGAAATTCTTTAGAAGAATTCAATTAATTTCAGTGCAATTTTAATTAAATTTCTTGAAAAATTTTATTATTTTCAAGAGTTTTTTTTAGAAAACTCTTCGAAATAATTCGAATTTTATTATTTATGAAAATACTGAAATTCTTGCGAATAATTTTGTTAAATTATTTTGGAAAATAATTAAATTCTTCTCAAAATTTTATTACAACTTTCTAAAATAATTTAATTCATTCAAGGAATTTTATTAAAATATAGAAAAGAATTAGATTCTTTCGAAGAATATTTAGATACTATTAAAGCTTTTGACAATAATTGAATTCTTTCAAAAAATTTCTCTAATTTATTGAATATAATCGATTTTTCTATTGTAATTAATAATTTTAGTATTAAAATTCTCTAAAGTTATAATTTTAATTTTAAATATTAAATTTACAAATTAAATTATGATTTTTTATTTAAAACTATTTTGTTTCATTAATTTTTCTTATTATTTAATTTTCACAACATTAAATTAGAATTTTAATCATTTTAAAATTCAAATTATTCTGTAAAAAAAATTATCAAGGAAATTTAGACACACAGTAAAGATAAAAAATTATTTTCGAAACTTTTATATGATTTTTATGAACCGTAGATCCCTTTTAACTGTCCCTGACACATTATTATTATTTTTATTGACTTTTCTTCAAAATTTTCTAATGCGGAATTATTTTTTTCAGGTACCTGACGGCGACGGAAAATATTTTCCAATATCGACCCCTAGGTTCCTATTATCCCGAGTATCACACAACAACGGCCTACAACGGCTTCATCGACGTCTCCCTACCGACCTACGACAGTCACCAACTGGGCAATAAGTCCGAGGAGAAGATCTACTGCCAACAGCTCAGCGATTCACCAAAGTACAATTACACCGACACCCGACTTCCCGGCAGCGTTGGAAGTTCCCCCTACGCACCAAGTCCCGTCACAGGCGGACCAATTCACTCGGCCGGCGACATGAACGCCATCCGAGCCAGCAGTCGACAGTCCCTCGAGGGAGCGTCGTCGAGCAATTCAGCGGGCAGTTCGCCCGTGTCAGCGGCGAACGGCGTTCTCACTCCAAAAATGGAGGACGTCAAGCCCGATCTTTACGGCAGTGAGGCGCCACGACAAACGGTCCTCATGTGGGGCGCACCACCAAATCGCACCTCACCCAAAAACAACGGCACCTACAGTCCACCGACTCCCTGCTCGACGAGATCCTCGCATTCGGTGAACGCCTCCATTTCCGGCAACTCCAACAGTGGCGATCCACTGAAATCACTCGCCGAAATGAATTCCATTAATGGCGATTGCAAATGGAAACGTAATTCGCCGACAAATCAAACAACGGCTCCAAGTCCGCCGAGATTGAAAGCTCATCAGCAGCAAATGCAGGCTCAGCAGCAGCAGCAACAACAGCAGCAGCAGCAAGGACCACCGCCACAATTGCAATATCCTGTTGTTGCCACTGCTCACTATGGGACAACTGCCGGTTACACGCACGCTCATCCTGGTCATGGTCATGGGGACACGGGCTCCGAGGTATGGCAAGGAGTCCAACATCACCATCACTACCAGTACTATCCTTACCACCATCACCACCCCGCACCACCAAGGCACACGTCCCAGTGAGTGTCACCGTCAACTCACTCAATCTTTATTTGCCGTGTGCCACTCGAGTCGGACGGTCGGTGACACTTGCATTTTTTATATTCTTTATTGTTGTCTCTCTTCTCTTCTTCTTCTTTCGTTTTCGTATTTCAATTCTGCACAATCCATGATCAATTTTTTTTGTCTTTTTTGAGGCATATGAGTCCTGTGAAAAATCTTTGGGACCATTTCGGAAATAATCATCTAATTGTCCCTCTTGATTTCTGGTTTGATTCGAAAAAAAGTTTCGAAACTTTTTTTCGAATCAAACCATCTTTTTAAACAAAGAAACATGAGTCCTGTAAAAATCTTTGGGACGATTGAATTCTTTTGAGTCATTTCGGAAATAATCATCTAGTGTCCCCCTTGAAACAAATCCATTTTGTTCAGGCGGAGATTACAAATTTCCTGAAAGCTTCGGAAAAAAATACTCGATTAAATAAAAAAGTGAGAAATAATTTAGAGCCACGGGAAATTAAATTCAGGGATCTTAAAACTTAATTCTAATTTCCTAAAATTGTAATTAATTTTAAATTTTTCAAAAATTAGAATTCAAATTCTCGAAAATTATATTTGAAAGAAACTCTAATTTTCAAAAATTTAGAATAAAAATCAATTCTGAATTTGAAAAATTTTATTTAAGAACTAATTCTAATTTTCACGAATTAGAATCGAAATTAATTAAAATTTTTAAGAATTAAAACTGAAATTAATTTTAATTTTCAAAATTTAATCCTAATTTTCAAAAGTTAGAATTAAAAATCCTAATTATAATTGTCAAGAATTAGCATTGAAATTAATTATAATTTTCTAGAATTAGAATTGAAAGTAACTCAAATTTTCAAAAATTAGAATGAAAATTATTTTTAATTTACAAAAAATTGATTTCAAAAATTAATCCTAATTTTCAAGAATTAGAATTAAAAATAATTGTAATTTTCAAGAATTAGAATTGAAATTAATTATAATTTTCAAAAATTAGCATTGAAATTAATTATAATTTTCAAGAATTAGAACTGAAATTAATTCTAATTTTCAAAATTTAATCCTAATTTCCAAGAGTTAGAATTAAAATTAATTATAATTCTCAAGAATTAGCATTGAAATTAATTATAATCTTCAAAAATTGAAATGAAAATTATTTCTAATTTACAAAAATTTGATTTTAAAAATTAATCCTAGTTTTCCAGAATTAGAATTAAAAATAATAGTAATTTTCAAGAATTAGAATTTAAATTAATTACAATTTTCAAGAGTTTTGAATTGAAAGTAACACTAATTTTCAAAAATTAGAATGAAAATTATTTCTAATTTACAAAAATTTGACTTCAAGAACTAAAATTGAAATTAATTATAATTTTCAAACATTAGATTTGAAATTAATTATAATTTTTAAGAATTAAAACTGAATTTACTTTAATCTAATTTTTAAAGTTTAAAAAACTTCAAATTTTGAAAAGTTTGAACAAAAATTAATTCTTATTTTTAAAAATTTGATTTCAAAAATTAATTCTAATTTTCAAAAATTAAAACGAAAGTTATTCTAGTTTTTAAAATTTTGATTTCAAAAATTAATTCTAATTTTCAAGAATTAGAAATGTAATTAATTCTAATTTTCAAAAATTAGAAATGAAAGTAATTCTAAGTTTTAAAAATTAAAATTGAGAATAATTATATTTTTCAAGAATCAGAACTGTAATTAACTCTAATTTTCAAAAACTACAACGAAAATTAATTCTAATTTTCAGAAATTAAAACGAAACTTTAATTCTAATTTTTAAAAATCAGAATTGAATTTCTACCTTTCAAAAAATAGATTGCAAAAATTAATTCTAATTTTCAAAAAGTGAATTGAAAGTAATTCTCATTTTTAAAAATTATATTTCAAAAATTAATTATAATATTCAAGAATTAGAACTGAAATTAAATCTAATTTGCAAGAATTATAATTGAAATTAATTCAAATATTTTAAGAATTATAATTGAAAGAAACTGCAATTTTCAAAAATCAGAATGAAAATTAATTCTAATTGTCAAAAATTACATTTATTGAAATATAATTCTTATTTTCCCAAAATTAGTATGAAAATGAATTCTAATTTTTAAATATTTAATTTGAAAAATTAGAATTTATTACTATTAATTAATTTCAAATGCGAAAAATAATTTGAAACCAGAAGAAAATCAATTTTAGGAATTTTGAAAAATAAATTGGACAATTCAATTAGATGATTATTTCAGGAATAACTTTTTTAACAATTAATAAATTATCCCTAGTTGAATAAATTTTATACAGCAGATTCAGTTCAATAAAAATTCAATTTTTCTATTTCAATTCAAAGTTTACACAAAGAATGAAAAAATCAATTACAATTATTTTTTTATTTTTTTGTGCTTCTTATAAATATTCCATTTTGTAAAATTTACCATTTTTTTATGACGTCCGTTCGAAATCGGTCTAGTATTATAATTCTTTGACGTGTCCATTACAAAAAAAATTAAGAACTGCTTATAAACATATTTTTTCCAACTAAAATTTAAATTTCGTATTGCATTTGCAAAAAGTAATTAATTTGTGTAAAATTCTGTTCGTAAAAATTAAGAATTAAATTAAAATTTTAGAATTCAAAAAGAAGGAATGAAATAGAATTAAAATTTAATAATATTCCATTGACAAATTTTCAAGAGTTTTTTAAAAAGTCTAACTAAAATATTATTTTACTACTTAAATTAAATTTACAGAAGTAACAGAAAATAATAATTCATATTAATTAAAAATAAATTTTTTTTACTACCGGTTCCAAATTCTTTAACACACTTCTATAATCCATATATCAAATCTTCAAAATTTATTTCTATAGAGCACAATTTTTCTCTTCATCGAATTCTCCCGAATAATTCAAATTTTTTTTTTGCATTTTTCATTGAAATTGCATAAATTGCATTATAATTGCACTGAGAATATAAAATTGCAAAAGAGAATTTAGTTCTCGTCTAAATTGTTCAAAATCTCTTTCTTCGTAAAAAGCAATAATACAAATTTTTAAATTTCTTGCTTTTTTCGAAAACCCTCGAATTTTGTAAGGTTGAGAAGAAAATAAATAAATTAACTAATTAATTCAAATAAATAAAAATTTATTTCTCTAGAGATTTTAATGTTTAAAAGAACGAATTTTTTTTTTTTTTTAATAATAAATAATAGTAAATAATAATATACCTTTTAAAAAATTTACTATCCAAAAAATAAAAAGAATTAAAATTAAATATTTATACCCTCATAATTAAGAATTAATTTTTTTAAACCAAAAAATTTTTAATGTAAAATAATAAATACAAATTAAAAGCAGTAAAAAAATAACGACGTTCATTTGAACGTTTGTAACTTTAGGAAGGTAAAAATTTCAAACTAAGAAAAAAATAGATGGAAAAAATTTGATTCAATTAATAACTTAATTTAATTTCATTTAACTCATTTAATCAAAAGTCGCAGTTCTAACTCATTTTCTTGCAAATAAAGCAAAAATCATTCGAATCATCCCTTTAGTTTTTAATAGTTGGAATTAATTTTTAATTAACTCCCACTGATTTTTTGAACAATTTAACGACACTATTTGTGAATAAATAAAAGGATAGTTATATGAGAGGAATATTTTCACTTGATTTTAATTTTATTTTTTTGCTTTGTAGCACGTTACCATCGGTAGGGATAACGGGTGTAGGGATGGGCTTAGACATGGGCATGAACATGTCCATCCCCATGGAAACGGACACCATCATCAGCAACGTCACCACCATCACCACGACGAGCACAACCACCAGCAACAGCAGCAACAACAACAACAACAGCAACGTCTTGTATTATCCAACGCATCATCACGTGGTGGGGTCGTCGGGCTCAATGATGGGTCCGTCTGCCCCACAGATTCAAAACCGGACGCTGGGAGTCCTTTGCTGTCCATCTCTGAGGTGACTAACACCCTACTCAACCAGTAGTCTTTTTATCGTCTCGACGCTCATCTAACGTTCACAATCAAGGTAAATTTCCCTCTTTCTAATTATCAATTCATTTATTAATCAATTATTAATCAACTAGCAAATATTACGCGTTATTAATTATTTAAATTATTAATAATTAATTATTAAATTCATTTAGTTTAGAATTATTCAATTTATTATTATTATTAAGATTATGCAAATTACAAGATTTTTTTATTTTCAAATATAAATTTTTTGATAATTTTATAATCAAAATTTAAAAAATTCACTTATTGAGTACATAGATTTAATTAATTATTATTGTTTATATTTTCAAAAAATTTAATATAATTCTTTACAAGAATTCAATAATTTTTATAAATAGTAAAATTTTTGGCAAAAATTCAATTATTTTCAATATAAGATTAAGATTTTAATAAAATTTCACGAAAGATTTCAATTATTTTCTTAAATTTTTATAAATCCTTCAAAATAATTCAACTATTTTTTTAAGTGATAAAATATTTGCAAAAATTCAATTATTTTCGATAAAATTTCACAAAAGAATTCAATTATTTTTAAAAAGAGGAAAATTCTTTGCAAAAATTCAATTATTTTTAATACAATTTTAATAAAATTTCATGAAAAAATTGAATTTTTTTTTCAATTTTTAATAATATTTTTCGAAAAATACTTAAATTATTTTCTAAAATTGTAATGAATCCTTCGAAATATTTCAATTATTTTTTAATTTTTAATAAAATGTTACAAAAGAATCCAATTATTTTCTAAAATTTAGATAAATCCTTCGTAACAATTGAATTATTTTTATCAGTAGTAAAATTCATCTGAAGAATTAAATTATTTTTTATAAATAATAAAATTCTTCGCAGGAATTCAATACAATTTTAATAAACTTTAATAATCAATTATTTGTTTAATTCCTTGTAATGAATTAAATTATTCTAGAAAATTGTAATAAAATTCTGAGAAGAATTAAATTATTATCTAAAATAATTTTATAAAATTCTTCGGAAAAATTTAATTTTATTATTTTTATAAATAATTCATAAATAATAAATTAAAATTCCAATTGTTTTGAAGAATTTTCTAAAAAACTCTTGAAAATAATTAAATTTTTAAAGAAATTTAATTAAAATTGTACCTACTGAAATTAATTGAATTCTTCTGAAGAATTTCATGAAAAAATTTGAAAATAATTGAATTTCTGTAAAGAAATTCATTAAAACCTTTAAAAATAATTGAATTCTATTAAAATATTGTATTAAAGGTCTTCAGAATAATTAAATTCTTTTGAGAAAATTAATAAAAAAGTTTTAAAATAAATTAAATTTTTAGAACAATTTTATTAAAAACTTTTGAAAATAATTGAATTGCAGCAAGAAATTTTATTGACATTGTATTGAAAATAATTAAATTCATTTGATGAATTTTAAGAAAATTCTTAAAAATAATTTACATGAATCCTGCGAATAATTTTATTATTTATAAAAAATAATTGAATTCTTTTGAGAAATTCTATTAAAAGTGTATTAACAATAATTGAATTCCTGTGAATAATGTTATTTGTTATAAAAATAATTGAATTTCATTAAGAAATATTTTTATTGTTTCTAAAAATAATTGAAATCTTGCGAAGAATTTTATTGGAATGTTTAAAATAATTGAATTCATTCCAAGAATTTTACATTACAATTTTTTTAAACAATTGAATTCTCTAGAAGAATTTTATAAAAATTATATTAAAAATAATTTAATTGCTTTAAAGAAAAATAAAATTTCTTTCAAGAAATTTAGTTCTTACATTTTTGAAAATAGTCTAATCGTTTTGAAAAAAATGAAATTATTTCGAAGAATTTAGTTAAAATTCTAATGAAAATAATTAAGATTTTAATAAAATTTCACGAAAGATTTCAATTATTTTCTTAAATTTTTATAAATCCTTCAAAATAATTCAACTATTTTTTTAAGTGATAAAATATTTGCAAAAATTCAATTATTTTCGATAAAATTTCACAAAAGAATTCAATTATTTTTAAAAAGAGGAAAATTCTTTGCAAAAATTCAATTATTTTTAATACAATTTTAATAAAATTTCATGAAAAAATTGAATTTTTTTTTCAATTTTTAATAATATTTTTCGAAAAATACTTAAATTATTTTCTAAAATTGTAATGAATCCTTCGAAATATTTCAATTATTTTTTAATTTTTAATAAAATGTTACAAAAGAATCCAATTATTTTCTAAAATTTAGATAAATCCTTCGTAACAATTGAATTATTTTTATCAGTAGTAAAATTCATCTGAAGAATTAAATTATTTTTTATAAATAATAAAATTCTTCGCAGGAATTCAATACAATTTTAATAAACTTTAATAATCAATTATTTGTTTAATTCCTTGTAATGAATTAAATTATTCTAGAAAATTGTAATAAAATTCTGAGAAGAATTAAATTATTATCTAAAATAATTTTATAAAATTCTTCGGAAAAATTTAATTTTATTATTTTTATAAATAATTCATAAATAATAAATTAAAATTCCAATTGTTTTGAAGAATTTTCTAAAAAACTCTTGAAAATAATTAAATTTTTAAAGAAATTTAATTAAAATTGTACCTACTGAAATTAATTGAATTCTTCTGAAGAATTTCATGAAAAAATTTGAAAATAATTGAATTTCTGTAAAGAAATTCATTAAAACCTTTAAAAATAATTGAATTCTATTAAAATATTGTATTAAAGGTCTTCAGAATAATTAAATTCTTTTGAGAAAATTAATAAAAAAGTTTTAAAATAAATTAAATTTTTAGAACAATTTTATTAAAAACTTTTGAAAATAATTGAATTGCAGCAAGAAATTTTATTGACATTGTATTGAAAATAATTAAATTCATTTGATGAATTTTAAGAAAATTCTTAAAAATAATTTACATGAATCCTGCGAATAATTTTATTATTTATAAAAAATAATTGAATTCTTTTGAGAAATTCTATTAAAAGTGTATTAACAATAATTGAATTCCTGTGAATAATGTTATTTGTTATAAAAATAATTGAATTTCATTAAGAAATATTTTTATTGTTTCTAAAAATAATTGAAATCTTGCGAAGAATTTTATTGGAATGTTTAAAATAATTGAATTCATTCCAAGAATTTTACATTACAATTTTTTTAAACAATTGAATTCTCTAGAAGAATTTTATAAAAATTATATTAAAAATAATTTAATTGCTTTAAAGAAAAATAAAATTTCTTTCAAGAAATTTAGTTCTTACATTTTTGAAAATAGTCTAATCGTTTTGAAAAAAATGAAATTATTTCGAAGAATTTAGTTAAAATTCTAATGAAAATAATTTAATTCCTCAGAAAAAGTTTATTATATTTATAAAAATCATTGAATTTTTGCGAAAATTGTTATTAATTATGAAAATAATTGAATTGTTTTAAAGACTTTTATTAATATTTTAGAAAATTATAAATAATAATTAATTGCATTTGCTAGTTTTATGATAACAATAATAATAATAATAATAATAATAATAATAATAATAATAATAATAATAATAATAATAATAATAATAATAAAAAGAATAATTTAATAATATTTATAAGAATGAATACATAGTAATAAATAGTAATAATAATAATAATAATTGTAAATGTAATATGTAAATGTAAAAAAATATTAACAGAATTATTTTTTTCCCTGTTGCAGGTGTCAAGACCGTGTTAATCACTCCAAAACGGGTTAGCGATCGCACGCTTGTATCATATACAGATAATATCGCTTAAATAATAAGAAGACTTCGTACAATTCTGTAATATACTCATTCATACTATTTCAACGTCGTACGACAAAAAAAGAAAAGAAGTACATTGCATCGATTCATCCATAATATCGATTAATTTTAAAAAATCAATTCCCCTCCCCGCTCTCTGAAGCAAAAATATCATTTTTATATTTCTACCGCTATTCCAATTTAAAAGACATGAAAAAAGAAGAATATTATATTATATGTATACACAATAGTATTCATTATTCTAAATGCAGTTTTTTCAGAAAAAAAAAAAATTTTTAATAGAAAGCCAAAGCGCGATATTTTCTTGCAAATTATTATCCGCATATTGAGAATTTTTTAGAGACACGCGCTCAGTAATATTTTCTCCTTAACAATTTCTTTTTTTAAGAAAAGACGTCTTTCCAATTATAAGTTTTAAAGCTTTATATACATGTGTAATTTTGGAATTTATTAGAATTTACGTAATATGAAAGTTAATATATATCTACAAGAAAGAGGAAATATTTAAAAAGAAAGGAATTTTTGAATTTCATTCAATTTCATTTAATTTAAAATTTTTTTTATTAGAATTTACCTATAAAAGTTAATATATCTACAAGAAAATCAATAAATCAATTTAGAAAGAAAAGGATTCTTTTTGAATTTTATTTTGATAACCGAATTAACGGAAATAATTTTTGAAAAACAGTCAGCAAATACAAAAAAAAGAAAGAAATCAGTAAATAATACAGATTATTTAGATTGAAGGGAAATTGTTTAACATTTTTATTGGTATCAACAAATGTTTATAATATTGATATAAAAATTTTACAAAGAAAGAATAATATTTTGGAATTAATTGTGGTCCGAGTCTTTTTTTATCAGTTGGCGATAAAATAATAGCTTATTAGTAGCAATTTTTACAATTCCTCTTGATTAGTAAATCAAGAATTAAAATATTTGAAATAGCCCCTTTGTACAATAAAAATTCTCTAACTATGTTAATAAAAATTTTCTCATGGATAATACGTATTCTGTGATATGTGTTAGCTAACTTAAAGACAGTAATTAAAAACAAATCTCACGTCGTTATAATGGATTTATTATTGGCTTTGGAGCAATAATTGTACTAAATTTATATTCACAAACTGGAGATTTTACATTTTCTTTCTCTATATTAATTTCTATTTTATTTCTTTTTGTATTTCCTTTTCTATTTCTTTTTTTTTATTTCATTTCTTAATTTAATTTCTTTTTTTAATTTTCCATTTCTTTTTAATTATTTTTAATTGACGAAATTTTTTTTCTTCTAATCCATCAATTGGTAGTAAAAAATAATTCATCCAATTTTCACCTTTTGTAAATTATAAATTCTTTTCTTTTTTTTAAACATTAATTATCACGGTAATTTATTAAATATTTATTATTTAAAAAAAAATTAGAAATTATTTTTACAAAACAGTTTTTATTAGTAATTTATGTAAATTCTCTATTTTTTGAATAAAGTTTATTGTACCCATTTGCCAATACTAGGGAAATGTCTGTTGTAAACAAAATTTCACAGATTCCCTTAAAAAAATAGTAGAAAACGTTTTGTCTCGAAGAAATAAAAAAAAAAAATTGGCAGATCAAGAATTTTTTTTCCATACGACAATTCAGGAGACTGAGCAAAATATATACGCAGTGAATCACTCCTAATTCAAAGATAGACAATTTATCGTAACAATTAGTTGCTCAATTGAACATTTTACCAAAAAGTATAAAATAAGAATAATTTATAGTATTAATAATATAACGGTTATTAGTTTATATTTATATACATTTACTGACAATCATTTTTTGTAATCAGACAAAATAAACAAATTATAACGACTAAAATTCTAGCGAAGAATTATTAAATGAAAAAAAAAAATGATGTAAATTTAGTCAGTCTGTCTATTTAATCAGGATTGATTCAACGTCTTTTCTGTCCATCTGAAATCCAGAATTGCCAATAATTTGTTAATAAGTTTGTAAAATTAGTACTTAATTAATTTATGCATTATTTATGTATCATATAGTATATTACGCAAATGAAGATGAAAAAAAAGTGAAGCCGAACGAGCCTTCCATTGTCTGAATTAAACAAAGAAGAAAAATATTTCATTGCAAAGTTAATAATTATTTAAAATGCCAATTCAATTATTCAAATAATAAAAAATTCAAATATTGTATTATTTAAATAATTATAATTTAGAAATTTTTTTCGAATTTTTTTTCCATGAATTTTTTTTTGAAAATTAACTTTGCAAGTGAAACGTTAATTTTGTGTTCCACAGATTGAAATAAATTTTTCTTATAAGTTGTATAAGAAAAAACTGTGGTTAACGATAAGCAATCGAGTCTAGTCCATGTACGATGCGAATTAGTATTTTATAAATATAAATATATAAATATATATTATGCAATGCTTAGACTGTGATAAAATGCTCACGTTTCCGGTGCATTCTAAGCATTAATTATATTCTACATATCTAAATAAGCGTAGTTTTAAAGAAAACAAAAAAAAAAAATAAAGAAGAAGAGAAAGATCAGAGCGAAAATGCGTTATTTAAGAATTTTCAATTATCGGTCTCATTCACGTCCTTCAAATTTATTGCTTCGTAGAAAACGAGAACGTTTTCACAGTTCAAGCACAAAATATGTATATTCACTTGTATATGTATAATATTATTATATGACAGAAAAATAGATAAAAAAGAAACTTTCTTTAGACTACCCTATTCTGTATCTACTTGGACACTTTTTTTGTATTAAGAAAATTTTTCAAATAAATTTCCCAATAAATAATATACTTATTGTGAAATGAGAAAAAAGGAAACAGCAAAGAATTTTAGAACCAAAAAAAGAAATTTATTATAAATATAAATGATTTTAAAATAAAATTATAAATACACTAAAATCTCGATTAGAGGTAAATTAGTAAAAATTCTTTGGTACAGAATGGGGAGAAGTATTTTTTTTAACAGATTCCATTTAGATCGTCTTCAAAATATATTCTGTAAGAAGAGAGAATGGGTAGTTCTTTACACTTATCACTGTCACAATAATTGTATTATTTTAATGAAAAAAAAAATGTAAATACATATTAGCATTTTATGCTGAAAGTCAAGATTTACAAGTTTACTTTAATAACCCCTTTTTTGATAAATAGAAAAATTTTTTTTTGGTAAATACAAACTGCACAATCGATAATTAATTTTAAAAAAGAAGCAAAAAGTATAGATCTAAGACTAAATAATGTAGTAAAGAGTAGCTATCGAAAAATTAAAATTGACAACTAAACAAAACTCCTTTTAGTCGATTCTCAAAAATTTGATTTGGTATTTCTCTGACTTCTTTCTGATTTCCATAAAAAAATATTCACTTTTTTCTAACTTCAATTATAAATTTTTCTAAAGTTCAATTATTTTCCAAATTTTTAGTTAGAATTTTTGAATAATTTCATAATCAAAATTTAAAAAAAACACTAATTAAGTACATAATTAATTATTATTGTATGTATTTTCAAAAATTTAAATATAATTCTTCACAAGAATTCAATGATTTTCATAAATAATAATTTCATTTTTAGACAAAATTCAATTTTTTTAACAACTTTTAATAAAATTTCACTAAAGAATTCAATTATTTCAAAAAATTTTTAAAATCCTTTGAAACAATTCAATGATTTTTAAAAATACTAAAATTCTTTACAAAAATTCAATTACTTTTTTAATGCAATTTTAAAACTGTTTCATGAAAGAATTAAATTTTTAAAATTTCACGAAAGAATTCAATTATGTTTTTAAATTATAGTGAAATCTTTTCAAAATTCAATAATTTTCAATAAAATTTCACTAAATAATTCAATTTTTTCTTAATTTGTTATAAAATTTCACAAACGAATTCAATTACATATTTTCTAAAATCTTTAAAAATCAAAACAATTCAATTTTTTAAAATTTTTCTAATAAAATTTTTCGAAAGAATTCAATTATTTTTTATATTTTAATAAAATTCCTTAAATTAATTCAATTATTTTAGAAAATTGTAATAAAATTCTTAGAGGAATTCAATTATTTCCTTAAAAATTTTAATAAAATTCAATAATTAAACGATTAATTTCAATCATTAAGAAAAACGATTATATTAAAAACTTAAAAGAAATTGTACATAAAATTCAATTACTTTCAAAATTTTCAATTAAAATTATTAAAGAAACTCCTTTAATTAAAACAAATTTAAAGAAATTCTTCAAAAAAATTTAATTAGGATTTTTTAAAATTTTATTTATTTATTTATTTAGATGTATAAATGGGCGATAATTTTAATAAAATTCTTGTCAAGAATTCAATTATTTTCATAAATAATAAAATTCTTCGGAGAAATTCAATTATTCAATTATTCGTGAAATTTTACAAAGAATGTTATTATTTATGAAAATAACTGAATTCTTGCGAAGAATTTTATTAAAATTTTTTAAATTAATAAACAAGAATAGTTAATTAGTAAATTAGTTTATAATTGAATTTTTTTAAATTTTATATCTGAAAATATGTTTTGTAATTTTTATAATAAGAATGAAATTAAAAATTATTAAATGAAATTTAATTATTTAATTAATAATAGAAGAAAGGGTAGAAAAAAATAACGTATTCAGTAATAAAATACTTTATTGCCAATTCGAAGTTTTTTCTTTTTTAATAGCTTGAGTCACTATGTGTGCAGCTGTTACATGACTTTTTTTTTTGATTTACTCTAAAAGACTATTTTAGATACATAGATGTTCTATTAAGTTTTTTTTACTGAATCTGGTTCTTGGATCGTCTACAACATTCCTGTTTAAAATTTTAATTGAAAATTGACTAACGATAACGATAAAAATGAAATATCGTATAATATATTAATATAAAGATGATTAGGGACGGATACATATTTTATATTGAACCCAATCACAAATTTTCTTCCTTTCTTTTTCTTTTTTGTCAACAAATTTTAAGCAGGATTGTCATAATATGAAATTGCCATATTAATGAAATTTGATGAATAATGAAAAATTTTTTTGTATCATTCATTTTTTTTCTCTCAGACATACTTTCATTTTTCATACTCACATTTTGACGCAAAATGAGCGCATTTCTTTTTTTAAATCTAATAGCATGATAATAAATATGTCATAACATTGTGTATTTACAGAATAGCATCTTTAAAACTGCAATGATTCTCGCTTCTCACTCATTTTTCGATTTATGATGTACAATAAACAAGAGTCAACGCAATTGATTGCAACAATAATAATTTCAAAAACGTTTATATTTAGCTAGAATTTTTTTTCTTTCCTTTCCTTTCCTTTCTTTTTTTTTATTTATTTTACATACATCTCTGATTGTATCAGGTCTATGAAAAATATAATACTACTGTTGTGCAATCGAGTGCGATTCACACTCACGATATTGTTGTATATTTGTATAATTTGTACAGTTAACTGTCTTGATTTTCTAATAAAGCTTATTTTCGGATAAGCATACAAATAATTTACAAATATAACTCTGTACAGTTATCCATATACATTAAATAATGTGTTTCACAGCGGAACCTCGGGTCACAATATTAAATTGAAAACTAGCTCTAACGTGCAATTAAATTAATATATCTATAATATAATTTTTTTTTCAAGATTATGTAAGATTAGATAAGTTTATTTATATATATATTTACTTTATTTTCTCGTTACGAATATTTTTTTCCTTCGTAATTCAATATTCATTTACCATGCCTTTTCTTTACTATCAACTTAAATTTCTAAAATTATATATTAAACATTATTATTTTGTAGCTTCTTTCATAATATGGCCATTTTTTTTCTCAACAAACTCAATAATATACTTATTAAGCGTAACATATTTTACTATAGTATTAAAATTTTGAAAAAGATAATTTGAAATTTTTCAATTCAATAAATTCAAACTCTACTTTTCACCAGTTCCTTGTTTGAAAATATATTTAATTGTTAATTACACAATAGACAAGAATTTTCGAAAAAATTTTGTTCTTATAAATATAAATCATTTTTTTTAAGTTTTTTATTTAAAAAATATATAATTTTTGAAACTTTAAATAATTTTATGAAATCTCCAAAAAATAAGATAATTTTTTTTCTTAAAATACAACCACTGCCAAATAAAATACTACTAAAATTAATTATTGATAATAATTATGAATAAGAATAACTAATAATAATATTGATAATAATTAATAATAATAATAATAGTAATAATAATAGATAATAATAATAATTATAATAATATAATAATAATAGTAATAATAATCGTAATTATTATTATAATAATAATAATAATAATAATAATAATAATAATAATAATAATAATAATAATAATAATAATAATAATAATAATAATAATAATAATAGCAATAGTAAGTAATAATAATTTATATTAATCATTACTGTCAATATAATAATATAATATAAATTAATATAATAATAATAATAGCATCAATAAAACTATCGAAAAAAACACTTCCTAACTAAACTAATTTAATATGAATATTATTTGCAAATAACTTATTACTGCGAGCTCATTAATATTTCATAAATTATAAAACATTTTTCAAAGATCCAAAACCTATATTCATAATAGTTAAAAATCAAACTCTATAAACAAAATTACTCTAGGAAAAAAAAGAAAAAAAAATTGTCAATTAAATATGACTTTATAAATAGCGTTTTCGCTAATTCATGCGAAATTAAAAGTATAAATTCAATTATCACGATTAAAACGTAATGCGAAAATTTCTTGGCAAAAAAAAACTTTAACTGCAACATTGATATTTAAAATTTGATTAAAGCTTCAGATAAAAATGTTTAACCTTGACTTCTCAAAGACAGAGGCAAGTTTATTAAACCACGATTTTCTCTTGAAAAAAAACATCACCATGAAAAAAGGCAAAAAAAATAATTAATAAACTTAATTTTACATTTTAGTTCCAATGTACCTAAGTAATATATTATAAAGGGCATAATTTCATTTTTCTTTATGCATTTCAAAATGATCAAAAAGAGAAACAGACAGTGCCTTAAAAAAAATCAAAATGCACTGATTTTTTTTGCCCATAATTAATAAATAGTTCAATTATCTTTACCTAAATATTGTGTAAAGTAATTGATGATAAAAAACGCAATTAATTTTGCGCACGTAAAATTCTCTCTCTCTGTCTCTCTCTCGCAAAATTTTTTTTACAAATGTCTTAAATTGAATTATAATTAAAATATGATTAATTCATGTCATTACCCAGTGTCACGGATTGAGTCCACCAGGTCTTTTACGATTTCTTCTATTTCGCTCGAGAAGAAATGACAAGTCTAGTGGATCTTTCTTGTTTGGCATTCTTTGTAGAAGATTCATTAGAATACCATTCAGTCTCTTTCTTTGCACTTCTCGCTATGGGAAAAATACATAATAATTAGATAAATTAAATAAATTAAAATTAGATAAAATAAATAGTAGATTATTTTGATTTTTGACTATTCAAAAACAAAATATTTCAATTAGAAATAAAAGTTGAAAATTAAATTAAAAATAAAAATAATATTGCAAAGGAATAATTAAAAATTTTTTTATTTAAAAATACTGTTTTTCCATTGTAGGAAAAATCTTCCAAATTAAATCTTCCAATTTAATACGAGAAAAATTGTAAATGCAATATTTTTCCCGAATATATTTTCATGGAAATTATTCAATGTAATTTAAGACCATATTTGAAACAAGATTAAGACAAAATAAAAGTCATTTTGTCTTCGATTTTTATATAGAAATTGCAAATAAAAATTTGTGGAAAGAATAAAATTGTTAGATAAAAATTTACCTGAGCGCAAGATACAATAATAGTAGGCACTGTTAAATTTTCGGCTGAGCGACGTCTCGTCTTTGTCGTGGATGGTCGAGATGTTGGTGGCTGCTCTTTATTGTTGCGAGTAACTTCTCGCGTTTCTGCCTTTTGACCATTATTTTCAACCTCCTGACAGCCATTCTTCTTCTTGTCTTTTAATATTTTCGCACCAGAAATACCATCCAGACTGTGAGGCTGCGGGAAATTTAATTAATTGTAAAAATTAATCATTACATTTAAAAATTATTAATGAAGTATTATTTAAAATTAACATTATCAAAACTACTTAATAAAGTTATATTTTATTTTGTAATTCTCTTCGATTTGAATACATAAAATAGTAAATATATAAATACAAACCAAGTATGTTCGGTAATGTTTGATCCTTTCTGGAAATGTTTCAAAGGCGTAAGGTTTTGTACAAACTAAATGCCTCGATCTTGCAACTTTTGTAAATAATCTGGCAGCTCTATCAACACGATGTTCGCACACGTACGTATGCTCAGGCGATGATCCAACAGGTCGACCTTTAATTAAAAATACAACAAAATTCAAATATTTCGCATGGAAAATAAAATTAAATCCTAACATAAATAAAATAATAATTTATATTTCGAATTCAATTAATTTAAATCGTCACATAAATAAAATAAAAATTTATGATTCAAAATAAATAAACTTAAATTGACACCTAAATAAAATAATATAATTTGATTCGAATTACGGACTTCAATTAAATAAATATTAGAAAATAAAAACTTAAAATTTTAATATTTAAAAAACTCAATTAAACTTTTTCAAAAAAATTAATTTCAAAATTCAATTATTTTTAAAAATTCACTCTATATATATTGCTTTTAATATTCAATTATTATCTAAAATTTTCACTGAAATTAATTTTTAAATCAATTTTTATAAGAAAATTCTACTAGAATTCAATTATTTAAATACAAACAAACTGCAAATAAATAATTTATTGAATAATTGAATGTTTCTTAAAATTCAATTCCCATAAAGAATCGTTATCAACAAATTTTAATAAAATTTTTAAGAATAATTAAATTTTTCGAGAAATTTGATTAAAATTGTATTAAAAATAATTAAAATTCTGCGATGAGTTTTATTATTTCTGAAAATAATTGAATCCCTAAGAAGAATTTTTTTTCTTTTGAACAATATTTAATTTTTGCGAAGAATATTATTACTCTTGAAAATAATTAAATTTCTGCAATAATTCTTGAAATTAATTCTTGAAAATAATTGAATTTCGGAGAAGAATTTTATTATTTCTAAAGATAATTGAAATTTTGACGAGAATTTAAAAAAATTTTTGAACATAATTGAATCATTTGTAATTTCTCTTAAATTATCCAAATTATACCGTACAATTTACGAAATTTTCATCCTTTTTGAATCAAATTACGGACTTTACGGATCTTTTTTTTAAAAAACGGACTTCAACGGACTTTAAGCAAAGTTACGGACTTTATGTTAATAAAAATAATTTTTCTAATTTATTTTTAAATTTAAAAAAAAAATTTAATTTATTTAAAAAGTTTTTGGTTTTATATTTTTCTTCTAGTGAATCTAATCAAACATTTGTTTGCGAACTTAATTTAAAAACTTGTCACCAAATTTTTTAAAAGTTTCCTGACGTTTTGCTGAATCTCCTGTTTTCCCCTCCCTCCCAATTACCATAATTAATTTTTTATTATTTATTAGATTTTCGATATTTAACAATTAATTTTATTTCAAAATTTAATGAAAAAATTTATGTGGCAATTATTCTGTATGAAAATATGGAGAAAAAAGTGATAGTGAATTTTATTGTTACCTTTGCAGAAAGTACTGGGATCAAGGACCCAACATCTCGCTGCCACCAGGTCGCAAGGAACGGCCTCGTACAAAGGCGCGCAAACAACTTCGTTTTCGAAAAATTTACGCGTTGGCTCGTGATAAGTTTCATGTGGCCTCAAGTAATGGTGACCAAACACAAACCTCTCGCCCCTGAAATTTGGTAATTTTTGTTTCATTATATTTTTTATTTTTCTCATTACATTTTTTATTATTATTTCCTTAATTTTACTTTTTTCAGTACATTTTTAATTTTTTCATTCCATTTTTTATTTCTTTTATTAAATTTTTCATTTATTTTCTCCATTCTGTTTTAATTCTGTTTTTTAATTTCTATATTCAGAGTTCTGAATATAGAAATAAAGAAATGAAAAGTGAGGATTGTAAAAATGTGTAAAAATTCGAAAAAAAGGGAGTAGAAGAATAATAATATGATTCAATATTCGAAAAGTTAGCTTACTTGGTAGTTTTCCAAAGTCTTTCGATCCGGAAAATGTCCATTTGCTCGTAATCAGGATTCTGAATGGTTTTGTATGTATGCTTCTCGGGTGTGTCACGTAAGACATAAACAGTATCCCCTTGCCTCAATTGAAGATCACCACGTAGAAGTGTTATATAATGCTTCTTTCCTTCCTCTTCTTCCTCGCCCTCCAATGGAATTTCCAAATCGACTGTTCGCGGTTGACAACGTTCACACAAATACGAATCCGCACTTGTGTCAGCTTTCACACAATCACAATGCTGCCACACCAAGCAGCGCTCACACTGAATCATCAATCCCTCATCTCTGCAAAATTGAATATTTCTTTATTTAAATACAGGCTATGCACTCGATAATTCCTTTAAAAAAATTAAATAAGTAAAATAAAAAATTCCATTTGGATAATTTAGGAATATTTCTTTACCTGTGAAGTCCACATATGCAGCGAATCACATCCTCCTCGCCTGCAGTGGATCCTTGAGGTGGCAAAAATCCTTGAGAAGGTGGAAGACCAGTAGCTTCGGTTATAGCATAAACAAAATCTGCCTTTGTGCCAAGATAAAGTTTCCTCAATCTCGCCGCCGCAATACCAATCTCTGACGTTCGTCCAAAGAATCTAACATTATTATCGAAAAGCTTAATTAAATCCTGATCAAACTGCTCGGCAGTTTTATAATGCCCACTTCCAATACCCTGATCAATCATTGTCAGATCAATTGGATCCTGTATTTTATCATAATATTCCGATAATTTTCTCTTCGGAGGTAGAGTCATAAATGGTGTGCACAAAAGTTTATCAGTCTCGTCTTTTGCTGTTGCAACAACCGAATACAAATCCTTTAAAACCTGAAAGTTGAAAATAATTCAAAAATTATAGTTAGACATTTTTCTATTCGATTCAAAATAAATAAATATTTTCTTTTCGATTCACAATATTTTCGTTTCGGTTTACAACACTTTCGTTTCGATTTACAATTAATATTATTGAATGAATATTGAAAATTTTCTAATATTGAATAAAATTTGAATAAATATAGAATTAAAAATACCTTAGCTAACTTAGCAGTCTTGTGAACTTCCGGATCATCTTGAGCCTGCGCCAATCGTCGAGTTCGCACAGTTCGCGCATTGGTATTCGTCAAAGCCGTGAGTTGCGATAAAAATGCATCGGACGTTGATTTCGCATCGATGCCATTCTTCTCCTTCGCCGATTGAACGATTGTTTTGATTTTCCCCGTTTGTGGTACTTGACTAATTTGCAATTTTTGTCGTTTAACTTTCTCCAAATTTCGCAAAAGGAAACAATGATGTTCCTGAGCGAAACAACGCTGCTGATGTGACATCGGCTTTATCAATGGAGCATTTACAATATTCGATTCACCAATTCTTCGTGATTTGCACATTCCTTTCGAATTTGTCGACTGTACAAGATTCGATTTACGAATATTCTTCCTCGGCCTACCAACTGATTTTCTCTCCGTTGAATCGACACGAGCGGGAACAATTGCTGCCACTGATCTTGGAACTCGTTGACTTTTCCCACCAATAACACCGCGGCAACCATTACTACCACATCGACACTGCTGTCCCTCGGTGGGATTGAAGAGAGCAAAATTATAATCGTACGTTAATTCCTCGCCAGGATTAATATTTCGCGAGGCGAACAATGCCATTCGTGGTAGTCCATTGACACTCCACTTTTGCATTTCACAATTTGGTTCACATGAATGATTGACAAATCGTCCATCGCCGCCCATTCGATGTCCATCAATCACGAGTCCACCGTCCAAATGAAGACAATAATGATGTGTATCGTTCGCATATATTGTTGCCATTCTCGATTTAAATTCTCGTTCGGATACAACTTCTCCGACGTATTCGAGAATAAATTCTCCGGATTTGATGGATTTTTGTGTACGCACACCCCAGCCCTTCACCTCGGTCATGAATTTCTGTAGACCCGGTGACCAATCGTGTTTTTGAATCTTTTGATTTTTACACTTCTCGCCGCATGGACAGAATTGTGGTGAACATTCACTGAACACCATTCGATTAATGCACTCATCACCACAGGCGCTTTCTGGTTTACATTCACATGATTGCGACTCGTATAATGTTGTTGGCTTCACGTCGTAATAAACGTTTGATCGAATTTTTCTGCAGAGAAAAAAGAAGAAATATTTTATTATGATTTTTAATTTTATAACATGTAAATAGTAAAGCATGTAAATAGAAAAAAAAGTAGTAAATATAAATAGTACAGTAAATAAATAAGAAAACATAGGCCTCGGATCGACTTTAAGGACCAAAAAAATCATTTTTAGTCGATTAATAGTACGAAAAAGTAAAAAAAAATGTTTAAAACATTACTTTTTAAAAATAATTTTTAATTCAAGCTTTTTAATCATTTTCAGAAAATTATTCCAGAATTCAATTATTAAAAAAAAATCAATTTTTTTAATAAAAATTGCCAACTGTAAGTCTTTTTAGTTTTTCTTTAAAGTTTCTAAGGTGAAAAAAAATTTTGAGAACAATTTAAATTTAAAATTATTAAATTTAGCGACTGAAAAAACTGGGTTTTACTCAATTGACAACAATTTTATTCTTTATTTCCCTAAATTTTTCCTGAATTCCATAAAAAATCTTAATTTTTTTTCTTATTTTGGTAATAATTCCAATTTTAAATTTTTCTAAAACTTAATTCTTTCCAAACTTTTAATTAAAATTCTTGAAAAATAGGTACAATTATGTTTAAAAATCATTTTTAAAATTGAAAAAATAAAATTCTTTAAAATGTAAAATTTATTTCAATTAAATTTGATAAAATTTCCAATTAATTAAAATTAATTTTTTAAAAATTTTTACGGGAATTCAACTATATTTAAAATATTTTAATCATACTTTTGAAATTTGATTATTTCTAAAAATTTACACAATAAGGCTTCTAAGAATAAATTATTATCTAAAATTTTAATTAAAATTCATTTTTAAATCAATTCTTGTTCGAAAGTTCCACGAGAATGCAATTATTTAAGTACAAAAATAAATAATTGATAGAATAATTAAATTCTTAAAAAGAATTATATCAAAACTTTTAAAAATAATTAATTTTTTTCAAATAATTTTAATAAAACTTTTATAAATAATTACATTTTTCGAAGGAATTTATTTTAAATTGTATTAAAAATTACTGAAATCATGCAAAGAATTTTATTATTTATCGAAATAATTAAATTCTAGCAACGAATTTTATTAAAATCTTTTTAAGTAATTGAATTCTTATGAATAATTTTTTTTTGTGAATATAATTGAATTCGTGCAACAAATTTTATTAAACTCTTTTTAAATAATTGAATTTTTTTGATAAATTTTTTTAAATTAATTTGTTTTAAAAAATTGTAATTAAACCGTTTTTCAAATAATTGAATTTCTGTAAAAATCTTATAATTTATGAAAATAATTGAATTTCAGCGAAGAATTTTAGTATTTGTGAAAAGAATTGAATTCTTGCAATGAATTTTATTAAAATCTTTTTAAATAATTGAATTTTTTTTAGAAATTTTTAATTACAAATTTTTGAAAATAATTCTTTCCATAGGAGAAATTTATACAATTTTTTTTTAAATAATTAATTTCTTTCAAAGAATTTTAATTAAACCGTTATTTACATAATTGAATTTCTGTGAAAATTTTATTACTAATGAGAATAATTGAATTTTAGCGAAGAATTTTAGTATTTGTGAAAATAATTAAATTCTTGTAAAAAATTTTCTTAACATTTTTGAAAATAATTCAATCCTTTTAAAAAATTTTATTATAATTTTTTGAAAGTAATTGAATTATTTCTAAAAATGTTATTTAAATTTTTACCAATAATTTCTTTATTTTAATTATTAGCGCATTTAAAATAGTGTAAATTCTAAAGAAAAAGAAAAAAGTAGCTTTTAGTGTAACAAATCTACCAAAAAATATCCAATTAGTAGCAAATTGTAAAAAAGTACTAAATAGTCGTTTTAATCAGATGAGTGCAAAGACTGAAATTTATATAACTAATTTAATTGATCTTAATTCGAAAAAAATCGCGTTTTCATATCCGAGGCCTGTAAATAAGTAAATAAATATGTTTATAAATTAATATTAGAATTATTATTAATTAATATGTAATAAATAATTTTTAATTATTGATTAAAAATTAATAATTATATTGATTAAAAATAAAAAATACCTGTAATTCCAAGAAGGAACCAAATCCCGTCCCGGCAATCGAGAATGCGTATGCAACCACCACAAATCATAGGGCAATTGAAATGGAATTTTTCTCTGTCTCAAAAATTTCCCACAATGATAGGGAGGCGGTAGTAAACCATGAGGATGTTCCGAAGTATCGTAAATCATTTTATTCTTTCCATTATCGGAATTATTAACTTTTCTCGGCTCGTCTTCCTTGAAATAATCGGAAAACAATCCAGCTGGTAAATAGCGTTTCTTCCATCTCGGCTGCTTTCGTTTACCACGCATTGAATTGCCCTGTTTGCCAAAATCATGATCATCACTCGCTAAATCACTACTTGGCACAGCATCACTCTCCGTATCATAACCAGCATTTTTCAATCGTTTTATATTTCTTATCGTTAAATTACAAGGACTCGCCGAGCCTCTTCTCCTCTTGTGACTATAATTATTATTACACAATTCGTGTTTCACCGTTTCACGCGAACTACTTCGTTCCAATTTCCTGAGATTCTCTTCATTTAACACCGCGACACGTTGACTTAAATTATATCTCTCCAATGATTCCTCGAGTGTTGCATTCTCATCATAAATTCTCGAGTCTTGAACTTTTTCATATTTCACCGGACATAATTTATCGCAAGGTCTTGTTCCGTCACATTCAAGGGAGTCTTTCGACGGGGACATTGCCGCTGAACATGAATCGTCATCCAGGAAACAGTGACGGGAAAATTCGGGTATTGGCGTTGGTTCGTTCTCGATCGTTTTTGTATCGTCAGGGAGTTCTTTACTCGATTCTTCGATTTTGGGGTCATTTTCCACATTTGGAGGTTTTACTTCTTCCTCTTCGTTTAATTGCGAAGAAGTAACTTCCTCGTTGGGGAGAATCTGTTCCTTTAGTATTGTTGGTTCAATGACAATTTTCTTCTTTTTCTTCTTCTTTAAAGTGGGAAAGCCTGTTCGATTAATTGCCTTCCTCCTGCGTGCTTTCTTTTTTAGAACAATCGTAGGTCCTTGCTTTTGAATCGGTGGATTCAAATTACCCTTCTCTTGTGTCACTGCTTCCGTTTTCTTAACAGACTCTATTTTCACTTCTAAATTTGGTTTCGTGATTTCCGTCGTCTTTTCCTTTGGGGTTATTTTCTCCGCGAGTGTCTTCTCAACTTTTCCTGCTTTCTCCACTTTAATGCCCTTGTCGGTGCAGGAATTTTTCTCGACTTTTTCAATTTGAGAGTCGGGGGCTAATTTCGTGACAGTGACGCGTAAATCTTTGACGATCTTTTTCTTGCGTCGGGGATTTAGTTCGGTGGTTGTGGCCAAGGGCTGGGGGATATCATTGGGTTCGGGTGGGATGTTTTCTGGGGATTGTTCCTCGGTGTCGCGATGCCTCTTTTTTGGGGTGACTGGAACTTTTGGTGTGGCTGTTGACGAATCACTGCCGTAGCGATTGATTGTTGCTTCAATGGCTTCCTCGATATGACTCTCGGTGGAATTTGCGTCATTGTTGGCTGTCTCGGAACTAGCGCCGGAACTTTGGGAACTATGGGGACTGGAAACGTGATAGTGACGTTTTTTCAATGGTAGTCGTTGCTCATTGGAACTTGAATTTGAACCTGAATTTGTGTTACTCTTGGAATCGGGATTAGATGGGACTTTTTCCTTTTTTAACCGACGCTTTAATTTTTGATCCTCGTTGGAATTTATTTCGCTTCCTTTTCGTTTTTTCGTGATTTTCTTGACGCGGAATATTTGCGGTAATTCGGAATGATTTGAGGTGATGTTGTTGCGGCCTAATGTGCAGGATTTTGAGAATTCTTCGATTAAATTTTCAAGTTCTTGAACGATAAATGGATCGACTCGTACGGGAGTTTTTGGTGGTACGACTAATTTTCGACAGTGTTTATGATGACGGTGTTTGTGATGATGGGAGGTTTGGTTCTTTGATTCGGGCTTTTGGTATTTTCGGCCGAAATCAATTTTTTCGGTTTGAAGGGGAATTGTCACGGGGAGGGAGATGACTGTTTGGACAGCGACGTTTGTTTCGAGATTTGCGGGAGTTTTTTTGTTGCTTTTGTTTTCTTTGAGGACTCGCCTTGAGATTGGTGCTACTGGTTTCTTTACTGGAATTTGCTTTTTGCTGGTCGTTGGATCTAGTCGATTTTCTTTTGTACTCTTTTTGTTATTGTTGGGTAATTTTTCTTCGCTTGGATTTCGATTTAAGAGGACTTTCTCTTGCTTTTCGCAAGGAAGTTCGGCGGTTTCTTTTCTAGATATGTGTTTGTCCTTTCTCAATCTCTTGTCACTTTTCTCCTTCTGTTCGATATTTTTCTCTCTCTGTTCGATACTTTTATCCCTTTGCTCGACACTTTTTTCCCTTCGTTCACTATTTTTGTCTGATTTTTGAATTTTTTCTGAATGCTCGTTTATTTTTTCCCGACTCTTTTCTCGTTGTTCACTGAGTTTCTCTTTTCGTTCCTTACTTTTCTCGCGTTGTTCTTTACATTTTACCTTTTGTTCTTTAACTTTTTCTTTTTGTTCGTTACACTTTTCTTTCGTTTCCTTATTTTTGTCTCTTTGTTCGATGGACTTTTCCTTCGGTTCATTGGTTTTTTCCTTTGGGTCTTTATTTTTCTCCTTACTCAGCTCCCTCTGTTCCTTGAGTTTTTCTTTACGTTCGTTGATTTTTTCCGTGTGTTCCTTAATTTTCTCCGTCCGCTCATGGCTCTTGTCTCGTTGTTCTTTGCTCCTTTCGCGCAGTTCTTTGCATTTCTCTCTTGACTCTCTACTTTTTTCCAGACGTTCGTTAAGTTGTTCCGTTTCTTTTGTTCGCTTCTCGACGATCGGTTTACTGAGGCACTTTTTACGTGTGGGCAAAACTTTTTCACACTCGGCAAGCTTCTTGGGCGCTGCTGATTTCGCATCATCAGGCTCACTCTTCGGACAGGGTTTTTTATTTTTTGACTTTTTGTTAGAACCAGTGTCTCGTGATTCTGGTGGGGAAGTTAAAGTTTTGCACTGTACATTTTGCTTTGCGCAAGGGACTTCAATCGAAATTTTTTCCTGAGATTCATTTGAATTTTTCTCAAGTTTCTCGATTTTGGCGGCAATTTCCGGCTTCAATTTGGGCCTTCCCGGTCCACGTGGTTGTGTGGAAACTAATTTGGCAGGTCGTCCGGGTTTTCGTTTCGGTGGATAAAGAACTCTGTCAACATTGACAGCTGGTTTTGATGCTATTTGAACTGGTGATTGTGAGGGTGCCTGTGGACTCACGGGACTAATCGCTAAATGTAATGGACTGTTATCAACAGACTGAATGCCCGAGTCTGGCGAAACATTCGACACACATGCGTACTCGGATTCATTTAGTTTCTTCACTAATTTGTTTCGCCTCTTTCGCGGTTCCGATAGTAATGCGGTTTTCTCGACAAACTGTTGCAATAACGTTGAACTATAAACAGGTACGGGAATTTGATCGGTATTTTCACCAGAATCAGAATCAGCTCCAAGTGACATTCGCTCAATTGCTTTTGAAACTAAACGACCACTTTCCGAGTCCTCGAAACCATCAAATGGCGCATCTTCATGATCCTCGTCGGGTAAAATTGCGGCCAAATCTTCTTGATTTATTTCTTGTAAAGGTTGTTGAAGTTGAGGCTGCTGTTGCTGCTGAGTTTGTTGTTGTGGTAGTTGCTGTTGTTGTTGTTGTACTTGCTGCTGCTGTTGCTGTGGTTGTGGCGGTTGTGATGACTGAAGCTGTGCCTGTGGTTGAGAAAACTGTGGCACTGGACTAACCGAAGAATCCGAATCATCAGTACTATCACCTGAAGCCTGAATATCCACAATTTGCAATAAATAAATGAATTAATTATTGACAGTACAATTAACATTATATTTTATGTTCGATATTCTTCTTGTAGGGAAAATTTTGTCCATAACTAAAATTTAAGATACTCAGAGGTTTTGTTTCTTTTAATTTTTCCTTTAAAAGTCGTCGATTGTTTCGAAGAGAAAGCATTATTAAATATAAATAAGCGAAGCGTAAGCTAATGTTTTGCCAATTTTTGATAATAAAATTATAAAAATGATAAGGTATTTTTTTAAAACTGTTTTAAATAATTTTAATAAATAATAATAAGTTTATAGTAATTTTTAAAAAAGTGTAAAATAATATTCATTTACCTTAGCAACGCGACTAGGTGTCTTAGTTCTTCTAGAAAGATTTCGCCTGCTTCTATCACACTTTGAGTTATCTTTATCCTCTTTTTTTGTTGCCTTCATGGCGATCTTAAGTTTTAGAGCTCCCTATAATATAGATTTAATTTGTGATACAATTTTGGTAATTTTTTCTCATTATTTCTTTTCTTTTCTTTTTTTTTGTGAAAATGTGCAGAGTTCACGTTCGACAATATTTCCAAATAAATTCTTTCTTTTGAGAACATAAAAATTTTTTAGAAATAAAGAAAAGTGAACAAAACAAAAATCACTTTGAAACAAAGAAATAAAATCAAAAATATTCAAAACATATGTACTTAAGAAATAATTTCATATTTAACAACGATATTTTGTTAATTTTATTGAAAAATTCTAAAAAAACGATACTTTTGAACTGACATAAAATTTGCCAGACTCGTAGATATTTCAATTTCATTAATTTTTCCATCAGTTTAAAAAAATTTAATTACTAGTACATATTTTGAAAAACGATCTCTAGGTGCTCTTCGACTTGACAATTATTTAAAGAGTCAAGCTCAGCGAAAACTCATGAATTATTCTGTTTTTTACATTACCTGCTCGAAGTTTGTTTCTCGAATGGAAAAAGTTTGTTCACTGTGTTTAGAAGTACAATCAGAATTTGATTCTGTATCATCCTCTTCTTCACCGCTGCTTTCATCGTCAGATTCAGTATTAGAATCTGAATATGAACAGCTGCCTTCGGTCCCTCCCGAGCTGTCTTCATCAGATTCCGAATCATCCTCGGAATCTATAGAATCGTTTCCTAAATAATCAATGAATAATAATTATTCTCAACACAATTCACTGCTTTGTAATGAGTGTAATATTTGAATATAATTTGAATTAATGAGATAAAAGGGCTTTAACAGTATTTCGTATGTAGCATAATAATGAATTTCAAGCTTTAGATTTTAATAATTTATGCAATCTTTAGTAGAGGACTAAAGGCTTATTTTTAGACGATGATTTTTAATGTTTGAAAATAAGACAACACTATTTTTAAAAATATTTTTGTAATCAATTTTAATACCCTGAGGTTTACAAAAGGAGAAGCAATTGTTTTTTTTAATAATTACAACAAAATATTTACCATTTGGTCCAGTAGCTGGATTCCAGCTTCCTCCTTTTATCGCGTCCATGTCGACTGTAGAGGGTAATTCCCTCTCGGGTTCCCCGTCATTTTCATCCCAATTCCAATTTTGTAACTCCAGCTCCGAGGGATGGTGTATAACTGCATTCCATCCTGAATCACCGGACATTTTTCTTCTTTTCTGACATCCAACAGGTCTATTAAAAACATTTTCATTTCATTAATTGTACACAATATTTTTATGAATTTAATTAATTAAAACTAGTTTAAAAATAAAATAATAGTTTCTAAACTTGAGAAAAAAAATAAAATAGTGACAGTATTAAAATAAAAATAATAACTCCAAAATAATAATTTAGAAAAAATTGTCATAATTTTATTCTTAAAGTTTTTCAATAGAATTCTATCTCATTTTAAACTGCAGTAGCTTGAATGTATGAAAATAATATTTTTTCCTACAATAAAACGTAATATTTGAAATCAATAATCTACAATCCTCTTAAAATAAAGTAGCATGATTCTGACTTCTTAAATTTCACGTGATTGATTAACAGAGTCAGTTTCGATTAAAATGTTCTAAAAAAAGACAATGTTGGAAAAAAGGAACAAACACAAAATTTGTAAAATGAAAATGATCATTCAATAATAATAATATAGAATATGAACTCAATCTGAAATAACTTCTTGCATGACGTCTCTATTCAATAAACAAACTTGATTCTCTTATCACTTGAAATATCCAAATTTACCGTATTAATATGAGTGAGTTTGAGAATTCGGACCTTGACTTGAAGCCCGTAATTCGTGTAAAAAACACTTGTTAATAAGAAACTTTTTTTTAGTGATCACATGACGGTTAACGTACCAATCTTATCATTGCGATCCAGTTACACTAGTGAAACATTCCATTGAATAGAATATATCTAAATAGAAAACTGTTTAGCGAAAAGAAAAACAATTGTCAAAAAGACTTTTTATCAATGTTTGACGGACAGCTGTTTCTTGACATAGATAGGGCAAGTAATTTTACACAAGAAAAATTTGGCGCCAAAAAGTTCACTGTAATATGACTCCCATTGATTTGCATTTGTCTTAAAATGTTTTTTACAACATAGTAAAATGTAGTAAAAAGATGTTAGTGGACTTTACTGGAATATATCGCGCATGGATATCAACAGAATTAGAAAGTTTGGTGTTTATGTCTGAATGCGTGGTCACAAAATGGCGTTTAAACGATGGTGTTCGTTCATAATTCGCAGATCACTCATTGTTTCGATTACTTAATGATTAGATAATCAAAAAATAATGGAATTACCGAAAATAATAGTCACTCTGGTGTAGAGCCCTCGACTGCGGATCGTCAGCTTTCGTGAAATTCACATATTATTGTTAAAAATATAAAAACACACCGCGCCTGCCACTGTGCGTGCGTCACTGACCCCACAAATACTAATGAAAAAATTCAATGTGTTGGTGCTCATCGCGACCCAATACTCCAAAACTTCTTGATTGCTTTAATTTATTCAGCAATTAGTCTTTTCTTAACACTGTGGACAATCCATTTTTTTACAACAAATCTTGTAAATTAAATTTTCTTGAAAAAGAAGGTAATAATTGTTCATTTAAACAATGAATGACTAATGTTTCGTAAATAATACGAAAACAATTGTAACTAATGTAACTCCAATGAGAAGGCCGAATTCTGTCAATTCTATTTTATCTCTGTATTCATTGGATAGGTGCCGGCTCTTTAATTAAAATTGAAGTTTTTTCTTGCAATTACTTTTTTCTGATGTAAGAAAAAATTTTTTTATTTTTAATTTGTAAATTTGGAATTTTTCTTAGTTTGTAGTAAGATGCTTAATATATTTATCACCAAATTTTCCGATTACTTTCTTTTCGTTATTTTACAATTTAGTTTATAAATTCCAATCATTCTGATTGAAAAATGAAAAAAATTATTATTATCAATTTATTATTCAACCTAACCTCAAAATGCACAATTGAACGAATCAAATTCATTTAACCGCACAATTCTATATTTAACGTATTTTTAAAAACGTTAAAATAGTTTAAGTGGTGTTTTAATTGTAATATTTATATTTTTATAAAAATTATTAATTTTAATTAACAGTAATTAATTCACAATCAAACAATAAAGGGAAATACTGGTAAATACTGAAATTTCGCTCCCTTTTTCTTGCACAGTGTGGATAAAAACCAATTAAATTTAAAAGACAGAACAATTAACCAATGAAAGAGAAACCCGCCCTCAAGTTACCAATGAGAATTTTTTAGAGTAATTGCAATTTGTTCCTGTTAATTGTGTTTGTTTCCAAGCAGCCAATCAAAATTGGTGTTCGGTCAAATGGTATAGTTGCGCCAATCAGCGAGCGCCTTTAGTAATACATAACGCTCGATGTTTGCAAGTGTGTTGTACTTTGTTGTACCGCCATATTGTGTATGCAACGCGGGTCAGTGGTGCGTGTGTGAGCATTTTATAAGCATTTTCATCAAAAAACAGTGCGTGTGTTTCTAGAAACTGTATGAATTCATAAATCATGGATCCAGCAAAATTAAAAGTAGTCGAATTACGATCCGAGCTTTCGAAACGAGGGCTGGATACAAAGGGTAACAAGGCGGTCCTCGTTGAGCGGCTTCGCCAGGCGCTAGACGATGAGTCTGGCAATGGTAAGTTTTTTTTTATAATACTGATAAATATCGTTAAATTTTTCCATACGATTATGTCTTATTGTTTATGACGTTTAACAACGTTGGTTCAACAAGTCTCTTTCAATGTAGCAATGATTGTTGTTGATTCAAGCTTCATGGCTTGCCATGTTAACACTGTTTTGAAATTATCTATAGGGTGAACCATAAAACTAATAATCTGACCTCGTTCACACGAGAATCGTATAATATTTTTTAAATATTGATTTTGCAATTTGATTAATTAGAAGATGTTAATAGAGTTTTCCTTGATTTTCATTTAATGTTTTTATGTGGTGATATTTTGATATCCTTTTTAATTTATATTTCTTCGAGTTGTTTTTTTTTTATGAAATGTATTTTTTGTAAGTTGATTGTTATCTTGACCTAGGTTTTTTTTAACAATATAAGGAAAATATTGAATGAAATTGCAGTTTAATTTTTCTTTTATTGTTACTTTGGGTTACTTTCAATTTTTTTATTTAATGGAATTGTTATTAACCTAAAATATTGATTTTTTAAACAATTTTTTTGTAGGATATTGTAGTTAAATTGGTTGAATTAAATTTTATTTTACAATTATATTATGACTTTAAAAAGAGTATTTATTTATTTTTGAAATTTAAATAATACGAAAAATACTAACCTCAAATATTGTTTTTCTGTTTAAAGGGTTTAAAATTGATAAGTGATTCTAATCAACAAGTATTTATTGAAATTATTTTGTTTAATTCTTTTTATTTTTATTATTTTGTTTATTATTTTAAAGTCAGAAAATAGATTTAAAATAGAAAAATTCCTTTGGAACATTTTTAATCTATTTAATTTGGAATTATTTCAGAACCAACTGAACGAGTGGAATCGAGTCCAGAGCAAGAGAATGAACGTGAAAAAACGCCAGAACCGCCAAAACCGGCGAAGACGCCATCAAGGCCGATGCGCAGCACAAGACACCAGGAACAATCACAGGATGTTCAAGATTCACCAGTGCCAAGAACTCCAACACGAGGGGGCACTAGATCTTCAGCCAGGGCCGTAACTCCTGACAAGAAACCTCCTGTTAAATCACCGGTCGTCGAGAAGGCAAACGAACTCCCGACAATTACAGAAACACCCGGCGAGGAAGCTTCACCACAAAAAGAACCTCCCAAGAAAGTTTCCAAAAAACCAGAAGAATTAGCTCCAGTAGAAAAAGCAGCAGCTGCTGAAAAAAGTACTGAAAAAAGTTCCGAAAAAAGTACTGAAAAAGTTACTGAAAAAGCTACTGAAAAAAGTACTGAAAAAGTTACTGAAAAAAGTACTGAAAAAATTAACGTCAGCCCTGAAAAGCAAGAGGCACACGTTAGTCCTGTCAAAGTAACACAGGAAGTAAAAACAAGTCCCGCTAAAGCATCACAAGAATTGAAATCAAGTCCTGTTAAAGTTTCACAAGAAGTGAAACAAAGTCCTGTCAAAGCCCCACAGGAGGTGAAAGCAAGTCCTGTAAAAGCCCCACAGGAAGTTAAAGCAAGTCCTGTAAAAACCCCACAGGAATTGAAAACAAGTCCTGTAAAAGCCCCACAGGAAGTAAAACAGAGTCCTGTCAAAGCCCCACAGGAAGTGAAATCAAGTCCTGTCAAAGCCCCACAGGAAGTGAAATCAAGTCCTGTAAAAGCCCCACAGGAATTGAAAGAAAGTCCCGTGAAGGTACCACAAGAAATAAAAGCAAGTCCCACAAAAGCTGCACAAACAGTCGTCAGTCCTTCAAAATGTACAGAAACAGCTAAACCTATCCAAGAATCTCAAAAGAGTCCCGCTAAATCACCAATTCAGAGTCCAATTAAAACTGTTCCGGTTACACAACAAAGTCCCATCAAATCTCTTCAAGAAAGTCCCGTTAAATCGGAACCAACTAAAGAGAGTCCAGAAAAATCGGAACAAAAACTCACGAGTCCTGTAAAATCAAATCTTTCAAGTCCCGCAAAACCATCCGTTACAACACCCGTGAAATCTGATACAAAATCCGAAAAAGAAACAAGTCCAACTAAAGAAGAATTAAGCCAAAGTGATGAGAAAAATACAGAAGATAATATCACGGACTTTACGGAGGACATTGAAATGAAGGATGATGAAGAGGATCCAGGTTGTTATGCACATCTAATTACAAACGAGGAGGAAATGAAGAGTTTCGATGAGGAAATGGACAGTTCTGATAAATACGAGAATGAATCGAAGGATAAGGATGAGAGTGAGAAAATGAAAAAGGACGATGATATTAAAGTGGATCGAAAACGAAAACGTTCACTTAGTCCCGATGATGAGTCAGGAAAAATTACTTACACACCAAAAGCAGAGGAGGAACCTGAATTGGAAGAGAGCGCAATGGCTTTGTCATGGTACGATTCGGATTTGAATTTAATTATCAAGAAGGAGGGTTTCTTTTCGGCAACGCCAATGCATAATGATGGTTTCGGCTATGTTTGGGCCGGTGCACGAGCCACTTATGGTTTTAATAAGGGGAAAATTTTCTACGAGGTTAAAATCACGGAAAATTGTTCAATTACCATACAAGATGAGGAGAATCCACATTTATTGCGAGCTGGATGGTCAGTAATTGGAACGTCAATGCAACTTGGCGAAGAGCCATTGAGTTATGGTTACGATGGAACTGGCAAAAAATCGACAAATAATGAATTTTCCGATTATGGAGAAAGCTTTAGTAAAGATGATGTTGTTGGATGTTATCTCGATATGAATTCAGATAATGTCGAAATATCGTATACTGTTAATGGAAATAGTTCAGGACCTGCTTTTATTATTCCCAAAGCAGAGCTTGGTGATAAGGCTCTATATCCACATGTATTAACGAAAAATTGCACGTTTATTTGTAATTTTGGACAGGAGGATCCTTGGAGTAGTACAATTTTGGATGATTATGTTTTCGTTGGAAAAGTTGATGTGAATGATCGTGTTCTTGGACCACAGAGGCCGGAGAAACGGGAGGATTGTGAAATGTTGATGCTTTGTGGTCTACCTGGTTCCGGTAAGACGTATTGGTCCATCAAGTACGCAGCTGAGAACGCTGATAAAATGTACAACATTCTTGGAACGAATGCTTTAATTGAGAAAATGAAAGTTATGGGACTGCCACGTAAAGCAAATCATCAAGGAAAATGGGAAGTTATTGCTGATAAATGCTCTAGGGCTTTAACTAAATTGGTCGATGTTGCCGCTAGAAGGAGACGTAATTACATTCTTGATCAGGTGAGTTTATCTCTCCAGTTGATTTTACTGAAATTAAATCTTAGTTTCCTCTTCTTTCAATCAGGAAAATTAATTTTTAGAATACTTGATTTCAGATTGATCAAAAACTTATTGATCAGAAAATTCAATTTAAAATATAAATTTTAAAGAATGTTTGGAAATATTTAATCGCTATTTAATGAGTCTAATGTTTTCCTTATCGATTGTTTTCAGAACAACGTATATTTAACAGCCCAGAAGCGTAAAATGCGACACTTCCAAGGATTCCAGCGAAAAGCGATAGTCATTGTACCTTCGGAGGAAGAATATGAAGCTCGTTCGAACAAACCTGAATATGTCGAATATAAAACCATTGAAAGTACTATTCAGGAAATGAAAGGTACGTTAATTTGAATTGTTTTTCCCCTTTTCAGGACTCTGGTGACTTTTTTCGACTATTTTCAGAAAATGCGCCTTTTTTCGACTTATTTTGATAAAATGCGACTTTTTCGACTTTTCTTCTCCATATTACGATAGAAAAAATACAACATATGAAACTGAAGTTACCAACTTTTATGCAATGAAAATTTTTTCTTTTGATAATTGTTTTTTAATGTAAGAAGCCCTTTAAAAAATTGCAAGTGCATCCATATTAAGAAATAAACTATTAGCAATAGAAAAAAATTGCTTCTGAAGCGAGGAAATAATAATTTAGTTGAAATTTCGGGATATTTGGAAAATCCACGACAAAAATAATTAAAAATCACTGATTTCCTTGCCATAGATCATCTTATAATTTTTTTAAATGACTTCTCACATTAAAATAAATAATTAGTAAAAGAAAAATTGCTTATGAGCTGAGGAAATAATAATTTTGTTGAAATATATGGTTTTTTGGAAAATCCGTGTAAAAAATAAAAATTACTGATTTCCCCGACTTCGATCTTCTGAAATTTTTTAAAGGGGTTCTAACATTAAAATAAATAATTATCAAAAGAAAAAATTGTCATTGGATAAACGTAGGTAACTTCAGTTTCATAAAATGTTTAAAATACTTCTTGTTTAATTGTGAAAAATTCTGAACTAAACTAAATTTTTAAATTTAAAGAGATTTGCTCCTAAGATTTGCTCCTCACCTTATTTCTTCGCAGCGTATCTCAAATAATCTCACAAATTTTAACTCAAATTTTTGTTATTAATAAAATTAAAAATTAATAACTTATTTTATTAACAATTTACTTGAAGGATTTTATATTTTTTGGCGTAATTAGCTAAAAACATACCAAAACAATTTTATTTTTGGGTCCGGAATTTTTTAAAAAATGGTCTGGAAAACCTGGAAAAGTCATGGAATTTTAAAATCGATGTTTTGTGGCAACCCTGAAATACTATGAAAATTAAAATTTTTTATTCCTTTGAAAATACTAAAAACCATAAATTGTTCTTTAATTTTCTTTTTCATCTTTCAAACTTTGAAGCAAACCCTGAGGAGTTACAGTTTGTAATTTTTATAAAAATTCAATTTTTGTATTTAAATAATTTAATTCTCGAATAACTTTCTGAAAACTATTACAAATTAATATTTCAGCGAAGAATTTTACTTAAAAATTCTAGAAATTCTAAAAATTCCCAAATATTAGACGAGTTACAGTAAAAATTCTTAGAAATAATTAAATTCCAAAAGGTTTAAAATTGATATTTTTGAAAATTTCAATTTTGACGAACTTTAATTAAAAATTCTAAAGAACTTAGTTTTGTAAAACAATTTTTGTTCAAATTTCTTTAAATTAGTTGAATTTTTAAATATATATTATTTAATAAGAAGACTTCTGACTAATCGAAATTTCCTTACGTTCAAAATTTCTGTCTCATATATTGAATTGAAAAGAATTGAATTTTATATGAATTTTAAGTTAATTTTTTGAATTATAATTTTAATAAATAGTATTTAAATTTATTAAAATAATAATTAAACTTTTAAATAAATTTAATTAAAAATTCTAGAAAATAATTGAATTTTAAAAGAAACAATTATAATTTTTAGAAATAATTAAATTTGTTTTCTTTTTTGACTTACTAGCTCCTCCGACGGCCGCAAGCGGCCGTCTACGGTGCTAGTTTTTATATGTCCATTGTCCAAGTCCATTATTTCATTAATAATAATATTCAAATTTTTTCAGTTAATAATTTTCTAATTTATATTTGAAATGTTGACGTTTTTTTTGACAATGCAAAATAAGATTTATTATGAGTACTTTCTCTTAACAAAAATAAAATTTATATATTCGCGCTCTTTTTAAATAACATACGACTGCAGCGCCACCTTCACATGTACAAACAATTTTAAAAACACCCTTCTATTAAGATTTTACATTCTCATTGCCCATTCTTTACTTCGATACTTTTCGATACATTCGACCTTTCCACTCCATGTCTTTTTTAAGAAAGGATTTTAAAATTTAAAATCGAAAACGATTTTTTTTGCGCCTTAAAGTCGATTTGAGGCCGACTTTTTTGTATTAACTATTAATTAATAATATTTAATTATTAATTAAGATGTTAAGTTAATTATCAATTATATAAAATTTAATGATTAACGATTATTAATTTTTCAATTTTTTTAATCTTCAGCTAATTTTGTGGCCCCGGCTGTTGGCGAGTCTTTCAATGCAGTCGAGTACGTTGAACAAGGTGAAGAGGAGGCTAAAACTTTAATTGAAAAATACAACAAAGAAGCTAAAGAAGCTGGATTTGGCCAGCAGCATGAGAAGAAACGTTCTCGTTTTGAGAAGGCCGAGCATCGCGATGGATCATCCCGATCTAGCCGGGATAATCGAGATCGCGAAAGGGATAATCGGCGCTCTGGATGTAAGTGATATTTTATTTTAAAACTTCGATTTTATTTTTACAGAAAAAAGTTTACTTTTAGAAAATTTTTCCTTTATTTTTCTTTTACTAAACAATAATTTTTACAAATTGTATTAATAGTGCAATTCTTCTATAATAATAATTATTTTGTCTAACAATTTGCAATTAATAATTTTGTCCAACAATTTCCAATTAAAATTTTTTTATAAGTTTGCAATTATAATTTTCTATAATAGTTTGTAATTAATAATTTTTCGCAACAATTTCTAATTAATAATTTGTTTGTAGATTCAGATAGAAATCGTAATTCATCTTGGAGAGGTGGTAGCAGCAGCGGCGGCGGTGGCGGAGGAAGTTCCAGTGGAGGATGGAGAGACAGAAATCAACGTGGCGGTCACATGAGATACGGAGGTCCCAATAACTGGAGAGGACGAGGAGGTCCAGGAGGTTCTCAACATAATCGCTCTGACAGAAGAGGAGGCAATGACAGAAGGTCTTCAAACGATCGCAATCGATCTGTGGCACGTCCCGGAGGTTGGGGTCAATCAGGGTGAGTTTCCTTCGAAAAAAAATTGAATTCAAGGGGATTTTTAAGAATTCAAAGTTTTAAAGTTAAATTCCTTACAAAGCAATTTTGACTAATGCAAAAATTAAAAAATTAAAAAAATTTATAAAAAGTAAAATAAGTATAAAGTTACTCTCTAAATATGAATTAGTGAAAATATTTACTAATTAGTATAAATTACTTTTTATTAGTAAAATTTACTAATTCAAAAGCAAATGTCAGTCACTAATTCGAATTAGTAAACATTTTTACTAATTCAAATTTAGAGAGTAACTAAAAGTAAAATAAGTAAATTACACAATATTTTAAAGTAAATTTCGAAAATTGTATTTACTTCAGGTTTAAAATAAAAAAACAAAATTATGAAATAAAATTGAGAGAATAGAAGAGAAGAGAAACGAAATTGAAAATGATAATAAAAAGGAAAATGTTTTTTGCAGTTACCAAGGTTCACAGTCGTCTGGCAGATGGGGAGGACAGCAAGGAAGTTGGGCCGGTGGTCAAGCATCAGGATGGAATCAAGGAGGCAGTGGATGGGATGGTGGCCAACAGCAATGGGGTGGCAATTGGAAAGGCTACGGACAAAGTAGTTACGGTCAACCTGGATATGGCTCGTCAAATTACGGCAATGGAAATTGGGGCGGCAGTTGGAACAACCAACAGCAGTATTACAATCAGCAGTATTGGGGCCAAAATCAACAGAGCGGACAAACGACAACAGCTAGTGGTCAAGCTGTAAGCAAACAATAATAATCCACCATAATTAATATTGTTTTGCAAAGTGGAACAGAAAGTAAGATATAGATACCTCTAATTATTCTTGTAACCATATTTACACAACGGCATTCAAGATTTCTATAATAAGAGGTTGAAGACCTTTTTTTATATACATATATATTATATTTATTACTCTTTTTTCCCCAACAAATTTTCTTCTTTTTTTTTTTTTGGGAACGAGAAAAACTGTTTCTATGTTGTTACTTCTGTTCTTTGTGATTTGTTTCTTTCTTCATTAAAACTGACATTTTGTGCCTTTCTGAATGCTAATAATAATATAATAGTTAAATATAAATGATAAAAACATTAAAAACCCGTTTCATCGAGACTTCTTTTTTTATATATTTCTTTATATAAATGATTGAAAATATTTAGTTTTATTTCTGATTTTTCTTTCAAATTACAAAAGCTTATTGTACTTTTTGCTCACACTTCATTAGAATAATAATTTTTATCGTATATTCTTTTTATTATAAAAAGAAACAAATTTTCTCATTTCAATCGAGAAGCAGTGCTTTTTTTAATTCTTAATTATAATTCAAAATGTAATTATTGTAACATAGTTTTGAAAAAACATTGTCGTATGAAAATGTTGAATAAGAATTATTCATTTATATTGTAATAATGAAAATTGTCAAATAGGTACACATTTTTCAAAATGTACACGAAAATATGAATTGTGTGAAAGAAATGAGTGATTTTCTTTTTGTATGTCTAAATTGTAATCAGAGTAATTCTCCTTTTTTTTAAAGTATAATATTTATTGAATAATGTAGACAAATCTGTGCTGTGCAAAAAAGTGTTACAAGATTTGAGGTTTTCTATATTTTTTGTCTATGAAGATAAAAAAAAAATCTGTTTTCCAACTTTCTATTCATTATTTTTACAGTTACATATAAGGCGTTGACGTTTTAATCTATTATGCATCTGTAATTTAATCGATTCTTTTGTTTATATAAAAAAAAAGATTCGATTAAAAGAGAAAAAGTATCTCACGTTACGAACATTCATCAGAGACTATATAAGGACTGACTTATTAATACATATTCAAAAACAAATTTTAAATCATATTTTTTTTTGATAAATCATTTGATTTGTATTTTTTTCTAATTAACTTTGAATAAATTTAGTCTAAATGAGCGAATTGAAGCGAACATACGGCTTCATTACAAGTAGTTTTACAAGTAAATAAAGAAATTAATTAATTTTAAGAACTGATTATTAGGAGAAATAAAGTATGAAAAATCTTTTGTGTGTAAGCGATTAAAAATTGAAGCTTTTAGATAATCTTCAATTATGTGTTACAAAACTATTTTTAAATTAAATTTTAAGTATAATAAATACCTAAGCCAAGAAATTGAGAGTTTATTTTCATATTTATTCCATTGGTGGGAAATTGAAAATCATTTTTTTTTAAATAAGATGTAAATTTTACATTCATTTTTAATTCGACAAAACAAATTTGTTTTACTATTTATTTTAAGGTTTGTTAGAAATTAAATTATAATTTACCCCAAAAGTAAGAGATATTTTATTGACTTTGAATCAAAATTTCTAATTTTTTTTTTACAATTTCATTTTTTGATTGTGATTGGATTTTTTATTTTAATTCAAGAACATGTTCAATAATTTTTTTATGAACTTGTAATTGAAATATTTTCTTACTTTTTTAGTAAGAATTATTTTTTCAATAAAAATTTTTAATTTTAAAAAGAAAATTGTAAAAAATGCCGTAAGTTTGCTCTTTCGACTTGATTTTATTATTTTGAAGTCGATTGAAAAAAATTTAATTCAAATAATCGATTATTTAATAACGTGAAATATTTAAACGAAATAATTATTGACTGAATCAAAGATAAATTAAAATCAAATATAGAAGTTATTAGTTCAAATCTAATTTAATTAAATCAAATAGCTCTAGTGATTAAATATTTATAAATTTTCTATTATAATAATTAATAATCTTTGATACCAAGTAATAATTACTATTTAAAAATATTTATAAATAATAATTACTATTTTAATTTAAATTAAAAAATAAATACTATTTAAAGAAATACAAATAATTTTTTTTTTAAATTATAAGAAAACAATTTTTAAAGATGATTTTTTTTCATTTTAGACAAATTCATCGTCTGTTACATCGTCATCCTCGAAGCGCAGTGATGAGACTTATTGAACAATAGCAGACAGCGTATAGTTTTTCCTACAAAGGACACTTGATCAACAAAAAGAAAGTAGGAAAAAATTTTCAATTCCAATGTATAATTTACATTTGTTACAAGTACCTACTAAGTTCAAAAAGCACGAATATTGCTTTATCTGTCATCAAAAATCTAAATTACGTACACATGACATTAATAATGTACATTATTAAAAATAGACTTTGAAAAAATAAGATTAATAGAAAAACAATCTCGATTATAATATATAATCTATTGACTATTTTTATTTTTTAAATGACGGCTCGTTGTAAGAAATTTATATAATAATTATGTGCAATCAACTTTTCGATTCACATCGTATATGAAATTTACGAAATATTTCTTTTGCTTATATCATTTCTTTTTTAATAAGTTAATGACGAACGTATGATTGTTTTTCTATTTACTCATATTTATATGATTTCATAGATATTAAAAGGAACAAGAAAGAAATAAGAAACAACTTTTTTGAGTCAATCATATTTAGAATATAATTATAGCCGATTAATGTGTACAGTAATTATAATATTATTATAATAATGATAATGATAAGAGAAAATAATAATCCTTATATAAAATCTGCTCTGTACAGCTTTGCATTAATAATAATGATGATAATAATAAGAATGATGATAATGCATTTTGTAAAAGCAGAGTAGATAATATTCTATTTAGAAGGAAGATTGTTTTATTAAAAAAAATTACTAAGATTTCGTTTGTTTTAGAAATTGATAGAACATTAATTAAGTGTAAGTGCTTTAAAATAATAAAACAACTTTCGTTTTGAATAAAAAATTTTACGTTTCTTTATCTTTATCTGATTCGTAAAATTTATTATTCACAGTTTAAATAAAAAGAAAGGGATGTAAAATAATATTACAACAAAAAAATCACAAATTAAGATTTTCAAACAACATTAATAATGTTTAAGGCATAAGAAATATAAGAAATTCTAAATACGAGATCCGGATAAAAGTCGATAGATATGTCAGTTATATTATGCGTGTGTTAGAATTATGTGTCACGCGGTAAGTGGCAGATATTTACTTTATTTTGAACTTAGTGAATCGAGTGTAAATATGTAAAATTACACAATTAACTCATTTAAAAAGGAAAAAAAAATGATTTTTTAAAATTTTCTCTTTAAATAGTGAACTTGTATTTTTTTTTTTAATGCGTAAAGAAATGAAAATTTCGTTTTCATTTTGAAGGACGTGTTAAATAATGTGACGTCACCAATCAAGTCTTTAATATTCTATTTATTTATAACTAAATTTAAAAAATTAAAAATAAATTAATTTTCATTTTGAAATCATTCGAGTATTTATTGATAATTAATTTTGAAAGTAACAAAAAAAATCTGTTAATAATTTTTTCTCTTTTTTTATTATATAAATTTACAAAAAGAAAACATTAAACTTTAGTGTAAAAATAAGAATGTCACGAATATTTAACGATTCGATTCGCGATGTCATAATTATGTGTCAAATGTCCTTAATTAAAATATCTTATGTAAAGATAAACATTAGTGATAGATGATAATTCAATAAAAATGCGATTAATGGAGAAATTGATTTTGGATTTATTAATAAACATTCATTTTTGATATATAATTTAAATTTTCATTAGATGACTAACTAATTATTAAACTAACAGTTTAATTTAATTACAAAATTTCTATTCTTTTGTTGCGCAGTTATCAATTGTTATTTTATTTTACACTCGATTCTTGTTATAACGAATCTCGTTACAACGTTCTCTCGTTATAACGAACATTAAAACTCTCGATACAACGACAAAAAAAACACGAACGAATTTAAGAATTTAATTTAACCAAAATTTTGGTTAACTCAAAAAAAACGACAAATTTAATCGACTCTTAAATTTATTTAACCTAAAGAATCTAGTGATCCGATTATTATTAAAAATACTTACTTTTTCTTTAAACTGATTTCATAATTCAAAAACTTTTAATATAAATAAACATACTTTACGAAAAATTTAGCACGTATTTGACGTTTGAATAGAACGTGAAGTAGGATTCTCTCCTTTCGTCGTAATATCGAGATTTTGAAGTCCCGAGATCGTCGTTATAACGAGAATCGAGTGTATTTTCATCAAAAATTGTTTACAAAACAGATGAAGGTGTAAACATTTTTTATTTAAAGTGGTCAGAAAATGTTATTCATAAAAAAGGGGTAAAAAGTGTAGAAATTTAATTCTTTGCGTTTATTTTTAAAATGACGCTTTTTATTTCAATTGGGAAAAAAGGGGATAAATTTTTCATAACAATCAATTATTGTAAAACACTTAACGCGATTAATTACAAGACAAAAAACACTGCATATTCTACTTTCTTTATTATAAAGTAAGCATCCGGTACAAATTTTATTTAGTGACTATTTTTTTTATTTCCTTGCGTGAGAACTGAATTTTATTTAAATTTTCAGGGTTTCTACAGATCAGGGAATTCAGGGAAAAGTAAGGGAAATTAGAATTAGTCAGGGAAATCAAGAAAAAGTCAGGAATTTTCATTAAAAGTACTGGAAAAATTAATTTTTTAGAATCTATAAAAAAATTCTAAATTCTGAAAAAATCAAATATATTGAGAGAATTAAATAAAATAGTTCTGAGAAATTCAATTATTTCGAAAAATTAAAATAAAATTCTTTTTAAAATAGATTATTTCAAAAAATTTAGACAAAATTTTTTAAAAGATTTAGTTAATAAAATTGCAATTTTAATAAAATTTTCCTATATACAATTCAATTAATTTCAATACAATTCTTCGAAAAAAATCTTCGAAACAATTCAATTATTTTCATAAAAAATAAAATTCTTCCAAGCAATTCAATTATTTAAGAAATTTTAATAAAATTCTTCCCAAGAATTTAATTCTTTTCAATAATAAAATTTTTCACAGAAATTTAATTATTTAAAAAAAATTTAATAAAACTCTTCGTCAGATTTCAATTATTTTCAATTATTTTTAATGAAATTTCTCGAGATAAAATTCAATTATTTTCAAAAACTTTTAAAAAATTCTGAGAAATTCAATTATTTAAACAAAATTTGAATAAAATTCTTCCCAAGAATTAAATTCTTTTCAGTAATACAATTTTTCACAGAAATTCAATTATTTAAAAAAAATTTAATAAAATTCTTCGTCAAATTTCAATTATTTTAAATTTTTTTAATGAAATTTCTCGGTGGAATTTAATTATTTTCAAAAAGTTTCAAAAAATTCTGAGAAATTCAGTTATTTAAAAAAATTTTGAATAAAATTCTTCACAAGAACTCAATTCTTTTCAATAATGAAATTTTTCACAGAAATTCAATTATTTAAAAAAAAATTTAATAAAATTTTTCGTCAGATTTCAATTATTTTTTATTTTTTAATAAAGTTTCTCTATGAAATTTAATTATTTTCAAAATGTTTTAAAAAATTCTGAGAAATTCAATTCATTAAAAAAAATTTAATAATATTCATTGCAAGAATTCAATTATTTTCATAAATAACAAAACTTATAGCAGAATTTAAATTATTTTTTATACAATTTTAAATAAAATGATACAAAGTTGCATTCATTCTTAATTTTTTTTTTAAATCACCGAATGAATTCAATTATCTATACTTAAAATTTTAAATTATAATTAAATATTAAAAGCATTATAACGTGAATTTTTAAAAATAATTGAATTTTGAACAGATTTCAAATTAAAATCTTTGAAAATTTTTTCAAAAATTAATAAAAATAATAAATTGTTTTAAAGCGTAATTTTAATTAAAAATTCTGGAAAAAATAATTGAATTGAAATCACTCGGTTATCTTTAATTATTAAAAAAACATGAAGAAATCAATCACTCCGAGTCTTCGACTCGGAGTGATTGATTTCTTCTTGTTTTATAATAATTTTTTTATAAGTTGTTTAATTTCAAAAAGGTTTGAATTTGAATGTTTTGAAAAATTTTGATTCCTAAGGAAAAATAATAATTAAATATTTATTTTAATAAAGTTATTGATGTTTTCGAATAATTTTACAATATTAAAGAAATTTCTAAATAAATGTAATAGAACATTTTGTTTGGGTATCTAATAATTTTCTGAGTGAATAATATGCAGGGTAAGGGAAAAAATTAAAATTTTCTTTGGAAGTCAGGGAAAAGTGAGGGAAAAACAAAATTAAATATTTAAAACCCTGATTTTGAATTTTTCAAGAAATATTTTTTATATAATTGAGAAAAACATTTCTTATTATTTCTGGGTAAATAACTTTCAAATTATTTAATTTATTATTTAATAATTATTAATAATAATTAATAATTTCAAATTAAAGGAAATTTTTAATTTTTAAACATGTTGAGAATTTTAAACTTGATCTCTTAAGTTTTGGTCTCAATGTTTTTCTTATATTATAAGAAAAGAAAACCATTGTCTTTTTTTTATAAATATATTCACAATACTCTACCCGTTACCCATAATCAAGTATGTACCATTGTTTTATTTTTCAATTTTTATCAAGGAATTAAAAATTAATGTAAATTTTTCAGTTATCAACTCATTGAATTATTCGAAGACGTGTCATTCGAGGGAAAATTCGAATTCAATCTTGATAGAAAATTAAAAACATTGTCATTTTGACTATTGGTGTGATTAAAGGCCTGTTGCGGGGGATTCGAATTGACGGGATGAAAAACATCGGAATTTCTCGAACGTAAACTTGATTGATTTTGTACAAGTTGCTCGTGATTGTTGATAATATTAGTTGGATTGTCGACGCTTAATGGATTATTTCTCGATTGATCGTTTCTTACTGGGCAAAGACGCAATACTCGACTGTCACTTGTATTCGTATTACGAGAATATCCTACAATAGAGTCAATAGATCTACTACTTGAGCTAGAATCGGATCGTCGTAAATTATTCATCGATTGAATAGCGTACGGTGAATGCCTATTTAATGAAGATGTTCTTCGCGATAATAAAAAATCCCTTGGATTTGAATTCGATTGACTGGAGGCAGCGCTTGAGATTCTTCTCTGATTATCCAGAACACGTTCAAAACTGTTAATTCGACGTTGCTGCATACGCACGCGGAAATTAATTAAACGATCGACTATTGCTTCGCGAAAACTGTATTGTTGACTTCGATTACGTAAATCGGGCACCGATCGATTGATGTCGCGTAATATTTCGTCGGAATTCGATGTCGGGTGATTGGGTGTTGAATTATTGGCGAGCACTGAGACCGAGGATGTTGACAGTGATCGTGAATTTGATTGTCTGACACGTGGTTCGGAATTTCTCATGTCCGCTTGAATTCTTCCATGACGAGGTCGATTCGATTCTTCTTGAGTATTTCGATTTAAATTTTCCGGTAATGATGATGAATTACTGGAAACTAAATTGAATTTTTATTAGTAGAGATTTATCTTTAAAGGAAATTTTTTTTAGTCGATCAGGGGAAAATACTCACGTGTACTGGTCTGTGACATGAGTCTCGATCGAGAGCTCATATCAGATGAATGATTCAGTGACAATCTTTGTCTCATTAATTGTGTTCGATTAATTGCATCACCTGTCGGTCTGTTCAATGATGTTGAAGTATTGGACGAGTGCGACTCTTGTCTCGTTCGTAAACCACTCACTGAATTTGTCACAAGTGGTCTAATTAGAGAATTTAACAAATTTAATGATGATTGTGAATTTTGCGATTGATTTGTGGCTAAATTACTCGTTGCGGGATTCGTGTCATTTGTAGCGAATTGTTGATTATTCGAGTCTCTTCTTTGCTCTTGATTAGTGGTCTGTTTGAAAATAAATTTTTAAATTGAGAACAAAATTTTAAAGACAGTTGTCTTTATTTTAATTATATCTATAAGTTTTCGAAAAAAAAAAAATGTTTATTACCTGATTTTGAGATGATCTACTCCTAGTGCCTGGTATAGGAAATCCAATTCGTCTGTTAGAATTATGTTGTCTTTGATTGTCTCTTGGAATTAAATGCTTGTATTTGTTTAATTCCGCTTGTGTCAATTCTCTCGCATCTGATTCAATTCGATAAAGAGGTATTTGACCGTATGGTTTCGGACGCGATAGAACTGGACTTGGTTGCTTCATCATTTGATGCATTTTTTCCTTTAAAGAGAAATTTATTACATTATTATTTATTATTCTTTATTAATTTATTTTTTCAGGCTTCGCACTCGATATAATTACTTTTAAAAGAGTTTTAATAAATTAATTAATTTTCTTTTTAATTTAAAAGAGTATCAAATAGTAACTTTAAGACTGAAAAAAATGGTGAAAAGTAACAATCGAAAAATTAAATTTGACGACTAAAAAAAACTCGTTTCAGTCGATTCACAAAAAATTTGCTTCAGTATTTTCCTGACTTTTCCCTAATTTCCATAAAAAACATTCACTTTTTTTATCTTGATACTAACTGCAATTCTAAATTTTTCTAAAATTCAATTTTCTTACAAACTTTTTGTCAGAATTCTTCAAAAATACGATTATATTTAAAAATATTTGAAAAATAAAATTCTTCACAATATAAAATTTATTTCAATTAAATTTGACAAAATCTTGAATTAATTGCAACTTTAATTTAATCTTTTTAAATTATTTACGAGAATTTAACTACCTTTAAAAAATTTTGATTACAATTTTTCAAAAGTCTATTTTTCTTTCATAATTTATAAATTAAATTATTAAAAACTTGAATAATATTTGTTAAATATATATTTAAATATTATTTAAATTTAGCGATAAAATAACAGAAAAAAGAGAATTAATTAATTAATTAATTAATTAATTCTCTTTTCTTTGCAATACATACGTTAAATTTAATTTATTTTTCAACACGAATTAATATTTAAAATAATTTAAATGTAAATCCTTTTTAAAAAATTTAATTCTCTCTAAAAATTACAATTGTAATTCTTTCAAAATTCAATCATTTGTTTGGAATTTTTAAATAAAATTATTCAATACATACTTTAAAAATTCTTTTGGAAAATAATAAATAATTAATTTTTTATGAAAAAAATTTAAATATTATTACAGTTTTACAATAATTAAATTTTTCAAAGACAGTCAATTCAAAAATATTTTGAAATTTAATTTTATTTCTAAAAATTCATATTATAACGCATCTAATAATAAATTTTTATGTACAATTTTAAGTGAAATTAATTTTTTAATCAATTCTGTTTAGAAAGTTCTATGAAAATTCAAAATACAAAAATAAATAATTGGTTGAATAAATGATCATTTCTTAAAATCGATTTCTTATAAAGTATTTCATCAAAATTTCTAAAAATAATCCAATTCTTACAAATAACTTAAATAAATTTTTTTAGATATATTGCATTTTTCGGGGAAATAATTTAAAATTGAAATGCTGCGAAGAATTTTATTATTTATGAACATAATTGAATTCTTGCAATGAATTTTATTAGAAATTTATTTTTAATAATTGAATTTCTGTGAAATTTTTACTATTTATGAAAATAATTGAATTTTTCCGTAGAATTTTATTAAATTCTTTTTAAAATAATTGAATCAATTTGTGAAAAATTTATTAAAATAGTAGATATTGAAAATAATTGAATTTCAGAGAAGAATTTAATTGTTTGGGAAAATAAATTAATTCATTTTTTAATTTTTTGAAAATAATTGAAATCTTGAAATGAATTTTAATAAAAATATTTTAAACAATTGAATTCATATGAAGAATTTTATTATTTCTGAAAATTATTGAATGCTTGCAAAGAATTTTATTATAATTTTTTGAAATAATTGATTTTTTTCTCAAGAATTTTGAAAATAATGTGAAATTCATTTGAGGAAAATAATTGCAATTGTATTGAAAATAAATGAATTCTTATTTTATATTTTATCAAAATTATGAAAAATAATCGATTTTTTCGCTTTTTTCAATTTTTTTTCATTTCTTTCAAAAAATTTTATGAAAATTTTATTTCAAATAATTTAATTTCTGTAAAACTATTATTTATGAAAATAATTGGAGTTTTTGGAAAGAATTGTAATTGTCAATAATGAATCAAAGGTATACCTGAAGCGTAATATGTTTGAAGAAATCCGACAATGATTTTTTATCAGTTTCCTTCTTCTCCTCCTTTTTTTCCTCCGCTTCCTCAGTGGATTCAATCATTTCAGGAACCACTTGATCCTCTTCATCGATAACTATTGGTGCTCTAAATGTCGCAATTATAGTGTCAAGAGAATCCAAAACTTGCAATGCTGTTAAACGTTTGCTTGGTTGCAAAACGAGAAGATTTCTGATAAGTGAAATTGTTCCTTCCGAGACTCGTCCATCACTGAAAATAATTCCCAAGTTTTTTTTCATTTCTTTTTTGTTGTAATTTAGTAAAAAAAAAAATTCTTTTACCTCAGCAATATTGAAACACTTACTTTGGAATGTTATAATTAGCTGCTTTTATTTTACTAAACAATTGAGTCGGGCTACTGTCGTAGAATGGAAATTGACCAAATAACATCGTAAAAAGTACAACTCCCAATGCCCACATATCTGAAGGTTTTCCTAAATATGGCTTCCCGCATAAAACATCAGGCGAAATATAAGCTGGCGAACCTCTTTGATCTTTCAGAAGATCATTTTCACTGGCCAAATGTTTACCAAGACAAAAATTTGTTATTGTTACCTAATTTTATGAAAAAACGAACATTTTATTTTATAATTGGAAATCTATTATCTTTCTTATTTTAAAATATTTTTAAAAAATTAATTGTAAGAATTTCTTTATAATTTTTAAAAAATTTTATACTTTCATAGCTTAAAAAAACTATAGAGAGTTACAATTATTATAAAAAATTGAGTTTTTGTACTTAAATAATTGAATTTTAGAATTTTTGGAAAATTATTTAAAATCATTGATTTAGTGATGAAGTTAAGTTGAAAATTATAGAAAATAATTAAATTAAGGAAGGCTTATAGTTGTAATTTTTAGAAATTATTAAATTTCATAAATTTTACTCATTTTCCGTAAATTTTTATATTTTCCTGTAAAAATAATTTTGTCAGGGAAAATAATTTTAATGTCAGTAAATTGTCAGGAAAATTAATAAAATGAAACTTGTGACCACCCTGAAGAATTTTCTTCTTATCAAACAGAAAAAATAGAAATTATCTCACCTTTCTTGTTTTGCGATTAATAACCAGATTACCGAGCTTAAGATCACGATGAACAATATTTCTTTTATGTAAACAAGCGACAATTCTAACGGTGTCGTAAAAGATTAAGAGAGTTTCCTTTTCGGATAATTTTTTCTCCCTTATAACGTGATGCTGAAGATTGAGCAATTCTTCATTTCGTGGATTGAAATCGTGAGATGTCAAACAATCCAGAACAAGACACAAGCGACGTTTTAATTTTCCTGTATAAATATTGCCCGTGGCCGTTTTCTTCTCTTCCATGGCACAGTCCTAGAAAAATAAAATGAAAATAGAAAATTGAAAACAAAAGAATTTTAAGGCAAAAATTTGAATGGAGACTAACTTTAAAAAATCCATGATGATGAACAACACCATCTTGATTTTGTAGTAAACTTAATAATGAAAATTCAGCATGAAGAAGCATTTTTCCCTGTCTATCATCCTGAGTTTCATGATCAGAATCATCTTTTAATGTTAAAATTTTTATAGTATAAAATTTATCAGTTCCTACACGTCTAGCTAAACATTGCACTATACTTTTCACTGGTGATGTTCCAATTAATGGACCGAGTAAATATTGTCCTGCTTTTTTAATTGTATTTATTGTCACTGGTGTACCTGGTTTTGGTACATTAACATTTATTTGCTTTTCATTCTCCAATATTGAAGGTTTTGTAAATTTTTCCCAACAACTTGATTCTTTGGAGGTGGGAAATTTCTCTCCATTTCTTGAATTCGAAACTGTTGGTGAATTTTTCTTTGAATTCCACGAAAGTGTTCTTTGTGTAGAATAGGGATGTTCGATACATCGTCGTTTAACACGTGGTTGACTGTCATCAAAATTTAATGATGTTTGATCCTCCTGATCATTGTTGAGTGTATTATTTCGATTTTCAGGAGTTTGAATTGATAAATTTATTTCGGAAAATTCCATTCTTCTATTTACATTTTCACGATAATTTCCTGTTGAATTATCATTGTCTGTATTTTCTGATCTTTGAGATTCAGATTCGGAACTTTCTCCAGGAAGTGCTTGATTTACATCGGGATTAATTGATTGGAAATTTCCTGACGATGACGACGATGGTAATTGAATATTTGAATTATTTACATTCGTGGGAATCGAGTCTATAAAATAAAATAAGTAAAGAATAATTACCAATAAATATAAATAAATCAAACTATTGAATATTAAGTACATTGACATTAAATTATGTTTACTAAAAATAAGTAAACAAGTTGTTCAAAAATTTACTCATTTTGCAATTTGTTTATAATATTTATGTACGAGACTATTTTCTAAAGGTCGAAAAATTTATTAATACATCGAAATATAGTTTGGAAATAATAAAGAAGTAATTTTAATTGAGTTATATATTAAAATTGATGATTACATCATAGTGTGATTGTCTAGGACATAACAGATATATTTATCTACCTATTTACAATGGGGTAAATATTTTTCACAAAAGACTGTTAAATAGATTAGAATATTTACTATTTATTTATTATGATTAACAGTAATTCGTTAATTATAATTTTGACAGGAGAATTTCCAAACATAAATAAATCAAAATTGTGTCACTTGTTTTGATACCATTTTTTAATGATTTTACCAATAATTTTATCAATTTTTGATGTAATATTTAAAAATACAAAGTAAACTTACCCCTAAACATATTAAGAATATATAAATAGATGTTTAATAATTATATTATTTTTTATTATAATAATACGACAATTAATAAACTGAGGTTAGGTGACGTTTGATATGTTATATATATGCGTTTGTAAACACGGTAAATACATTCAATACGTATAATTTCGTATTTTTACGAAATATCCGGTAAAAAATGTTACCTTACTTTACCTATATTTTCTCCTTACCACATGTGTTCATAACCTAAAAGATCCAAAAGTATTGTTTTTTTGTTTTCAATTATTTTGAATCTTTGAATGTAATTAAACATTTTTTGTGAAATACTTAACAATATTGTGAAAAATCGAAAAATTAATGTTATCTGCGTTTATTTTAATTTTAATTTAATAAACTTAATTAGAGGTTTATGAATTCTCGTAAGTTTAATGAATAAGTTTAATGAAGGAGGAAACATTGCATATTAAACAAATGAATCATTTAAATACAAATGATTTAACATCGGATTTGGATTCAAAATTATCTGAAACTTTAGTGATTATGGACTGTGAAAATAATGAAGATTCTTTACAGAAGAAAAAAATACGAAAATCCATAAGTTTGAATCTCGAAGTTCAACCACCAACACCAAGCTCAAATTCTTTAAATTCAAATGAAAATCCAAAAGGAATTTTAAAAAAAGCAAATAGTGTTGTCCACGAAACTGGTAGAGATTATTTCCATAAAATTCAGGAACAAAATGAAGATGTTGAACCTAGACCTCATAATGTAAGTTTACAGAAATAATAAATATGTCACAAATTTTATTTCAAAACAAAATAAGTCTTCAATATTTAGAAATTAATTATACATAAAATTTTTTTTCAGCTTGCGGAATTAGCTGAAGCAGATGGATTAAGTCCTGCAACAATTCAAAGTACCTTTTACTTGGATGACTTAGGAGAAAACGACGAAATTTTCTTAATGGAGATACCAAAATCAGTAAGTAAACATTATTATTTACATGAAATATCTTCAAAATTATATTTCGTACGTAAAATAAATCAAAATTAATTAATTAATAATAATTAATTACCAAAATGATAGTTTCATTCTAATTAATCAAAATAATGGTACTTTTAATAATCTTTATTTCAAATAAACAGAATAATCAATTTTCGCTGTTAAATTCATCAAAACTTCAATAATATTTTTGTTTAAAACTTCTGGAACCTAATTTTTATTTGTTCTGTTGTTTACAATGTTTTAATGAATACTTTTGTTTCTCAGGTAAATCCAGAATTACTCACAGGACAAGTTTTGTCTTTGACAGAAAAAAGTAAGCTGAAAATAGGAGAAAATCGCTACATTGCAACTCATCGAGAAGCAAGAGGAAATTTAAGTTGTGTTATAAGTACAGGAGAAGACTCACAATCTTATAAGACTGGTATTTTATTTTTAAATACAAATAATTTTTCTGGAGAATAAAAAAAATATAAATAAAATTTTTACAATATTATTTTGATACAATATTTCTTATAAATATATATATTTTATTTTTCAGTGAATATCAAACCTGCTGGAATTATTCAAGTGAGACAGAAACTTAATTCCATTCCTAAAGCAAAACCTGAGTATTTCGAGCAGAGTAAAATACCTTTACCGCAAAATATTAGAAACAGAGATCCTTTTTATGGAGTAGTTACCACTGTAACTAATATCAAGGTAAAAAAGGAATTTAAAAAAAATAGGTAATAAGTATAAAAAAAACATTTTTAATGTAAAATAATTATTTTTTTAATACTGAATTCTTTACCGAATTCGCTGTTAAACTATTTTATAATGTATAATAAATTTTAGCAAATTAAGGCTTTTGTATAAAATGAAACAAATTTTTACATTAATATTTGGTTTCGATTAAAAAAACCATTCTCTATTTACACTATATAATAAAAATATTAAAAAATATACATTTATTTGAAATGGGTTTTTACGTAATACTAGCAAATATTTCCGGCGCAAAATACGGTATTCAATTTATTATTATTATGCAAATTACAAATTTTTTATTTTCAAATAGAATTTAAATTCAAAATTTTAAAAATCTGCTTATTAAGTTCAATTATTTTCATAAATAATAAAATTCTTCGCAGGAATTCAATTATTTTCAAATTTTTTATTACAATTCTTCGCAAGAATTCAATAATCTTCAATATTTTAATAAAATTCCTTGAAAGAATTAAATTATTTAAAAAAATTGTAAAAAAATTCTGAGAAAAATTTAATTATTTTCTAAAAGTTTTAAAAAAATTCAATAATTAAATTTTTTTTTACAATTATTAACAGACACGATTGTTTTTAAAAAACGAAAGAAATTCAGTTATTCCTAAAATTTTCAAATAAAATTATAAAAAATGTTTATTATCAAATATGTAAATTCAAAAAAATTCTTTAAAACAATTTAAACAACAATATTTTCAAATATTCTAATAAAATTCTTCTCAAGAATTTAAATATTTTCATAAATAAGAAAATTCTTCTCGAGAATTCAATTATATTCAATATTAATATGTTAATAAAATTTCTCAAAAGAATTCAATTTATTTTAAAATTATTTATATTCTTCGAATAAATTCAAATCAAAATTCTCAAATATAGAAATTTAAATACATTTTCATTAGCATTTATTCAATAATTAAATTTTTAATTACAATTATTAACAGACTCGATTGTTTTTAAAAAACGAAAGAAATTCAGTTATTTCCAAAATTATCAATTAAAATTATAAAACATCTCCTTTATTATCAAATAAATTCAAAAAAATTCTTTAAAACAATTTAAACAATAAAAAAATTTTCAAATATTCTTATAAAATTCATCGCAAGAATTTAATTTTTTCATAAATAAGAAAATTCAACTCGAGAATTCAATTATTTTCAATATAATGTAAATAAAATTTCTGGAAAGAATTCAATTTATGTTTTTTAAAATTATTTCAATAATATTCTTCGAAGGAATTTAAATCAAAATTCTCAGATATTAGAATTTAAATACATTTTCATTAGCATTTATTCAATAATTAAATTTTTAATTGCAATTATTAACAGACACGATTGTTTTTAAAAAACGTAAGAAATTCAGTTATTCTCAAAATTTTCAAATAAAATTATAAAAAATCTCCTTTATTATCAAAATAATTCTTTAAAACAATTTAAACAATAAAAAATTTTCAAATATTCTAATAAAATTCTTAGCAAGAATTTAAGATTTTTATAAATAAGAAAATTCTTTCGAGAAATCAATTATTTTCAATATAATGTAAATAAAATTTCTGGAAAGAATTCAATTTTTTTAAAAAATTATTTTAATAATATTCTTTAAAAGGAATTCAAATAAAAATTCTCAGATATTGGAATTTAACTACATTTTAATTAGCATTTATTTACGCTATATTACAAAAATATACAATTATTACATACACATTTCTTTCATACTTCAATATACTTTAGTATATATGCACACAACATTTTTGCGAATATTTTTTGAAATCTTAGTTTTGTATATTTTACAAAAAAAAATCACCTTCAGTAATATTCCTCTATTTAAAACATTTTCAAATGGATTATTTGCAATTATTTTATTTCTTCATTGATTTTTATATTTTTTTACTCATTATTTTATTTACTAGTCTAAAGAAGATTATATTTAAGAAGTGCGAACTTATCCTTTTCTACTCTACTCTCGTTTTAAATTTCGTTCCACAATTGAAGAAAATATTTGTTTTTCAAACAAAAAAATAAGCAAAAAGAAATGACAAAATTAAATTTAAAAAAAATTTGGAATGAAATTAAAGAGAAATTAAAAAATTGACAATTACAATTACTGACAGGTGACTGAATAATTATTTACATAACAGTTATTTTCTTAAAAAAAAAGAAAAATATGCATTCAATTTTTAAAATGAGCCATAGGATCCTCAACGCGGGATCTTTTAATTTGAAAAGCTTCGATTTCTTCAGCTGTTGGCTCCTTTGCTTCGTACATACTATGGTATGCTCTATTTCTGTCTCCAAGTTTAATCATTAATTCACCTTCTCGTTGACTTTCCTCCTCTTTTCTCAGTGCTTCTTGAAGTTTTGTTTCGTTCTTCATTTTTCTTTTCAAACGCAACTTTTCCTTTTGTTTTCTCTTCTTTTTCAATTTCTTCTCCTTGCTACTTTTTTTCTCAGTGATTGTCCTTTTGTCCTCACCTGAATTTGAATCACTGCTCTCAGAATCTGATGACGATTCAGAAGAATCTTGTTTTTCAATAACTTCCTCATCGTCTTGATTTTTCTCTTCGATAGGAGGAGGAGGTAGTTCAGGAATTGGTTTCTCAATACTGACAGGTGGTAGTATTGGGACTTCGGAGGCCAATTTACCGGACTCGCCGGTACAGTAAGAATTTTTCAGAAATGAGTAACAGCATTTGAAACCCCAGTTACCTTCTCGCCAATATGAACCCCAAACGGCAGAATGATTTCCAGGAAAGATATCCTCTTCGTATTTTGAACGAATTACTTGTCGCTCTTGACCTTTAATTATTTTACCAGCTCGATTATATTCGACGTATTCTTCAGTTTGGGCCAATAAAAGAGGAGCTGGCGGTACATCGAGATGTTCTTCACCGCCATATTTTTCGATGACACGATTTTTGATTTTATTCTTTTGCTCGCTACGATTTTTATCGTATTCCTTTTTCAGTAATTCGAGTTTCGTTGGTTCTGCGAGAAGATGGACGTCTAGACCTCGTCCAGAAGCCTCCCAGGCGAACAATTGAGCTGTTGCGTGCTCCTGTGTGTCTCCAGTAAAACGAGTGAAATTCTCTCCCTGATAGTCGACCCTAAGAAAATAGATTATTTTCATTAATATAAAATTAAATCGAAAACAATTAGTGTAACAAAATTATTAAAGTTCAATTCAAAAACATACTCTCTATCCGTTCCTGCGTAAGGATTATCACGCATAGATCTTGTCTTCGGATCGTAATAAGCTGAATTAGGATCCAAATTACGAAGATATTTTGCAGTGTCCTCTCGAATTCTCAAATTTCGAACAGTGATACGCTGCTTGGAATCGACTTTAGTTCCAGGCATATCAATTTCATCGACATATTTATCTTCATCCTTATCGGAATCCTGATCATCAACATCACCAGCATTGAGTTTTTCGGCGCGTATTTCTTTTTTTGCTTCCTCAATTTTTTGATATTCCTCGACAATTTCCCGATGCTCGGAGGGATCGTAACCAGCCCATCGATCACGTTTTGCATCGTAATCAAGCGATAAATCCGGTTGTGTGACATCATCGGATGCAAGATGAGTTTGTGAAAATTTTGCCAACACTTTTCTCGGTCTCTCGAAACATTCCTTACGTTTGTGACCCATGGCACCACAATTTTCACAAGCACCTTTTCGATATTTAACAGCACGAGACGATTGCTGTCCTCGAATATACCAATCATCAATTCCACTGAATTGTTTTTGACGTTCGGGTTGTGGTCGTTGATGCTTTAATGTGGGGCCCTGAGCACCAAAGTACCAGGGAGTAGAGCTAATATATTGTGGAATGTGAGGATTTATGTCCTTTCCCTCCTCATCAACAGCAGCTGGGGCAGTACCAGCTTTTCTTGCCTCTTCCAATTCTTTCGCCTTTCGCCAATCATCTCTACTTTTTTTCTTTGGTTCGTCCTCGAATTGACTTTTATTTTTTAAAATCTGTGATACTGGCACATTCGCCAAAGGATTCGCCATCTAAAAATAATTGAATATATTTATTTAATGATAAAAAAAATGTCTAAAATCACATAATGTAAATAATAAAGATCTTAAACTTATTATTTATATATTCATTTTAAACATTAATATTAATTCTCAAAAATAAGTCTAAAAAGTAAATTTCCATAAATTTTGTTGCAATGTTTGAAAGAAAAGTCGAAAAAGTCGCAATTTTTGAAACTAAGTCGAAAAAAGTCTCAATTTTCTTAATTTCCCTGACAAACAATTTTTTTCCCAGACATTTCCCTGACTTTACTGACAAAAATTTTGTATCACTGATATTTTCCTGACTTTACTGCCAAAAATGTTGTTTCCCTGACTTTACTTCTGTTTAATAAATTCCCAAAAATAACAAATAGTTCAAAGAATCAGAATTTTTTGACCATTTTATCCACTTTTTAAAAAAATAATTAAATCAACGAGAAAAATTATGAAATAAATTAAATAAAGTCATAAAAAACAAAATTTCAGTATTGAACTTTCAATATTAATAAACAAACGTAAACAATTCTTTTTAATGCAAAACATTTTAAACGTAATTTTTATTCAACCAGAAAAACAAAAATAAACAGAAATTAACAAAAAAAATTAAATTTTTATATTGATAATTAATCAGAAACAATTATGAAAAAGTATATGCAAAATTAAATTTTTTATTGAATTAAAAATAATAAAAACTGACATTAGAGAAATACTCACTATTGATTTTTAGGATATTAATACACATCCAAAAACTTTTTTTTAATTTCTTGAAGTAGTATAATTATGACATGTATTAATTTAAATGAAATTTGGTTTAATTTGATTAAGGTGATGAAAACTTTATTTATTTAGAGCATATTAAACAAAGTAATAACACACATTACGTATTTAAGCAATTGTCAGCCATTTTGTATAAATCTGAACTGGACAAATTTGTCGCTAGTGTTATTTTTGTTCAGTGGTTGGCAGTACTGGGAATATAACCGGAAGTATAGAACACTTCAACTTTTCCGCCTTGCCGAGGGGAAAATTATAGATAATTACAGATTTTAAATTTAGAAATTAATCTTATATTAGTAACAATTACAAATAGTGTAAATACTGATAAGAAATATTTATTCTATGAAATGTAAAATTAGTATTTTTCTACATTCTTCTGTGACTGTGAATTGTCCACCAATCAGAATTACGAATGCTGACGCCTTAATGATTTTCGTCCAATCACAGGGCATGCAGTGTTGCTGTGTTCATTCAGGTTCATTCCTGTTGAAAAGATGATGGCGTCGGTTTGGAACTCCGAATTTTTCCTCGGAAAAAGGTAATCATTTCTCTTTTAGATAAAATATTCTTGGCTTTACTTGTTATTTTCCATGTGGGAAACGATTATTTATAATTATTTTCTCATGGGAATACCGATTGATTGTGAAAATGTGAGATATGTGTTTCGGTCTCTGATTGCCATGCTCTCGGCAATGTCGTTCTTGAGAATCTATCACAATCGACAGAATCGGTCAATTTTGTCTAAAAATTTTTACATCCGGTTTGTATTTAATGCTTTTCGAAAGTAATATACGTTCTAGTTATCATTTATCTGGATATTTTGTCTTTAATGCGAATATGATGTGAAAATTTTTTGACATGGCGATTTTTTAAAAATGGCTGCCGGCAAATTTTTGCACGCAGTCGGTATTTGGAAAATGGCAATAGGGAACTTATCGACAGCATCTCACATGATAAGTACAATTGTTTTTAACAAAAAATGTGATTTTAATGTTGCAGTTTTCCCTCAAAGCCAAAATGGATGAAAAAATGTGTTGAGTTTTCGCAATACTATAGACAATTCGATCTTTTCGAAAGGTTAATTTTCTCATTTCCCAAATAACCTGTTTTGGTTCCGTGGAGTGGGAATTTTTAATGTTAAATGGGAATTCGCATAGTGGTGAGTATTTTTTTTTTTATTGATGTTTTTTTATCATTTGTCGTTAATTACCTTTTGATTTTTTCAACAAGGGGATAAAATGTTAACGAGTGTAGTAATTTGAATGGAATATGTATTTTTTTGACAATTTTATTTGCAATTAAGTAAATAGTGAGTAATTTTATTAGGATATAATGGCAACTGCTTCGGGATTTAGGGACTCGGTCTTTTTGAAAGGTTAATTTTCATAATTTCCAAAGAACCTGTTTTGGTTAAGTGCGGAAATGGAAATTTGATTATTAACCCAAAGAAGGGATCTCCGGGGACTTATGTCTTGAAGTAGTTTGTCACAGCAGAGGGAACTGATTTTAGAAATAAGAAACAAAGAACTTTCTATGCAAATAATTTTAATAATAATAATTATTATTATTATTATCATAACCTAAAAATTCTTTTATTTCCAGCAAAGTTTGTCCTCCTATTTTTTAATAGTTTCAATTATTATAACCTAAAAATTCGGTTTTTTTAAGCAAAGTTATTCTTCATTTTTTAATAGTTTTAATTATTATAACCCAAAAATTCTTTTGTTTTCAGGAGAGTTAATCTCCCATTATGTAATAATTTTAATTTTCTAAATATTTGTCTTTTTCTTGCAAAAAGAAAATAAAGTAAAATTTTGTTTGATTATATTTATCTCTTTTTTTTTAATGAAAAAATTGCAACTGTTAACTAGAAATAGTTTATATTTTGCGAAAGTTTTTTCTAATTAAACATTTTTTTCTTTCAAAAATGCCAAATTGGTTTTTTAGCTAAAAAATAAAATTTCTGATTGTCTTTTATATAATAAAAGAATTTATTTAAATTTTCCAGTTTTAAATTTATTTAAACAATTTATTTAAAACCAAATAAAAAAAACATTTAATCATTCATTAATAAAAATTTTTTTGAGACATTTTTTGAAACTTATTGTTATTTAATTAAATAATTTGTAAACATATTTACAAACAAATAAATGTAATTTTAATTTTCTATTGTCTATCATGTAAAAGACCCAACAATTTTTTTAACTACAGAAAAGAAATATTAAATTTAACTTTTCCTATAAGACATTAGAAGATTTTTTATTTTTAAAATTACAAAAATCAAGTTTTTTTTTTATTTTTTTGGACATTTAACTGAATTAAAATATTATCTTCAAAAAAATAGGGGAATGTAGTCAAGGTTGGCCTACTGTCTAGGTAGGCCACTCGCGTTTTTTTGTCAAGTTCACTAGCGCCACCTACGCGCATTTTTGTCGAAGCTTGTCTTAGTGAAACCTAACTTTTTGTTCAATTACATTTTCGGAAAATCGAAAATTGTGTTTTCTGTGACGTCGGTACAAAAAAAGCTCAAAAAAAGTTTTGTGCATAATGTGAAAAACCATTAATAAAAGATAAAAAACAAATTGAATCGTCAAGGCAAGTATGCAGAAAATTTGTGGGACTCATGATTGAAAGAAAAACAGTAAAAAATCGAATCCCGAAACGTATTTCTTTTTGTTTACAACAATTCGGTAATGTTACTTACTGTCAAGGTCGGCCACTATGTGTTTAAAATGCGCAAAGTTGAGGACGAGCTACTTCATTTGCAAAAACTGCAATTCTGTATAACTCATAATATAATTGATCATCTTATTAATATTTTTATTTAATTTTATTAATATTTTAGTGCAAAACTTTTTTTTATTTATATTTATTTTTTTATATTGTTTATTGTTATTATTTTGTTATTTCATTAAGTTACAAACTGTAAACAATAAAGAATCAATTTTCCGTAACTCCAAACATGTTATTTTATTTTTTAACGATTAATGCCCTTTGAATTTTAAACATGGCCGACCTTGACTGTAATGGCCAACCTGGACTACAAATTTTTTTTTTTTTAAATCTTTATAACTTTTTCATTTTTAAACCTGTCAATTTACTTTGTACAGAAAAAATGTTCCTATTAAACAGGACTTTCCAACCATATACTTCAATTGTCCAAATTCATTTTTAAAAAAAAGTTATAAACAAAAGTCAAAAAGGTGGCCGACCTAGACTATGTTCCCCTACATTTTAGTCATAAATTAATTATCCAGTTTTTATTATTAATTATTTCGTTTTATTATTATACACTTTATTATTTTTGTCATTAATCAATTAAATTAATTAATGAGTTTAAGTTTTTTAGTATATTATTACTAAATAACAATTTTATTTCTATAAAGAAATTTTTTTCGATTTTTTGAATATGATGGAAAAATTAAAAAAGAAAAACAATTATCTTTTTTAATAAGACCTTTTTTAATACTTCAGTCTTATTAAAAAAGATCATTGTTTTTCTTTTTTAATTTTTCCATCATCTTCCAAAAATCACAAAACATTTCTTTATAAATATTATAATAAAAGGAAAAACTATTTCAAATAACAATTTTATTTATTTATTTTTCAGTGCCATCTCTTTGGGAACAGGATTAAAAGTCGAATTTAAAAAGGATTGAGTGAGTTTTTAATTTTTTTTAACTATCATCTCAGTAAAAATACAGTTGATAGTCAAATTTAAAAAATATAAATTCAGTGCGTGTTTTTAAAAAATATTTGAATCGCAGTAAAAATTTGAATTAACGTTAAAGTTAACATTAAATTAATTAATTAAAGTTAAAAATTAAAGTAAAAAAGAAATTAAAATTAACTATAAGAAGTAAATTAAAAATTTATCTGCAACAATAATTAATTTTATTATTATTAGAATATTTCGATTCCTCAAAAAGGAAGATTTTTTCCATAAAAATTAAATGATCGTAATAACTTATTCTACATTCTTTTCTATTTCATTAAATTTAGATCGTGACAGATGATGATCCACAAGTTTTGAACGTTCAAATGAACGAAACACTTTTTATTAGAAATATTTTTATAAATTACTGTTCGCAATAAAAATTAAAAACTTAAATTTTACACTTAGAAACTTTATAATTCAATTTTCTTCATATCAACAAAAAATTATTGTAATAAATATTTAAATTAAAGAAGAAATAAATAAATTTCGTTCATTTGAACGTTCAGAACTTTAGGATCATGACAGATGCCGAGTTTTAAATTATGAAAACAACTTATTAATTTAAAAGTGAAGTTTTGAAATTTTATTAATTCAGATTGTTTTTTACATTAAACTGTTCTACTTTTTTTGTGCATTTTATCGATTCAAATATTTTATATCGGGAAAACGGACCTTTGTCTTCAAGAAAGAAGAAAAATATTTCGTCGTCTACTGAATTCTCTTCTTCGCTTCCAAAGAAGGTTAGTTTTTATTTATTCGTCATTTTTTACTCAAAGGTAAATTGTTGAACTATATTTATAAACTTGTTTTTGAAACGAATGTTTTAATTTTGAAACATAGTGCTAAACAGTTCAAGTATTTGATATTTTCCAAATACTTAAAAATTAAACAACTTAACACTATGTCCCCAGAAGGAAAATTATATCCCAACATACATATTTGCCTTTATCAATTTTTAAAAATTTGGATTTTAATTTTTTCCTTAACATTTTGTCAATAATTCAGATTCTAAATTATTGTTTTAGGAAAAAATATTTTGAAATTCAAATCAATTTAAATAATAGGTGTTTAAAAAAACTCAAGTTAACAGGCTTGTTTTCTAAAGAAGTTTATTTAACCGAATTGACTAAATTTTTATTTAATTCAATTGACATAAATTTTCATTCAATCATATTATTAATTCGTCAATTTGGAAGAACAAACATTCAACTAGATAAATCATTTTATTTCATTTTGGGACTGCGCTATTAGTTAATCGAAATTTAAGGAAAAAGTCATAAAAAATTTATTTATTCTTCTGCTGATTGTCGGCTATGATTACTTTTTTGAATTTTGAATTCAATTTATTTTGATGACTCAGATAATTCTTGGAATTGTTCTAGCAATAGCTTGGGACTATTTAAAAAAAATTTTGACTAACAATTGTTAGTAAACCGAAAATAAAGTTCGCTCAAAAAATAATTTTTCATCTTCTGCTGATTGTCGGCTGTGCGGTTACTTTTTTTGAATTGTGAATTAAATTAATTTTGATGATTCAGATAATTATTGGAATTGTTCTAGCAATAGTTTGGGACCAGTAAACTAATTTTTGACTAACAATTGTTAGTAAACAGAAGATAAAGTTAATTAATTTGATAGTAAAAAATCAGTCACTGATTCAAATATAGTATGTAAATAAATTTTAAAAAAATTATCGAATTAATAGAAATTTTGTGAAATTCAACTGAAAATAATTAAATTTGTTAAAGAATTTCATTAAAAACTTTAACAAATCGAATTTTCAAACTATTTTAATTGATAAATAATTGAATTTTATAAAAATTCACATTCTAATGTATTCATGTTTCTTAGTGCGAAGATTAATAATTAAAATTTTTATTAGTTAATTTAAAAATATACATTTCAAATTTTTTAATAAAATTAAATTTTCGCAAAGTTTATTTGAAAATTCTGAAAAATAAGATTTTTGAAATTTTTCAATTCTATTGTTTCAAGATAATTAAATTTTTATAAACAAATAATTGAAAAATTTTGAAATAATTGAAATTTATTTACATTCTATTAAAAATATATAAATTCTTTTAAAGAATTTTATTTAAATTTTTCGAAAATAATCAAGGGAAGTTAGTTACTGTAATTATAATTTTATTTAAAAAAATTTCTTCGCAATATATTCAATTATTTTCATAAATAGTAAAACTTATTGCAGAATTTCAATTATTTTTAATGCAATTTTAATCGAATTCCTCGAAAAATGTAATTATTCTTAAAATTTTTATTAAAATTCGTTGAAAGAATTCAATTATTTCTAGAAACTGTAAAAAATTCTTGTCTAGAATTCAATTATTTCCATAAAATATAGCAAAATTCTTCAGATTTACTAAATTCTTTTGACCATTATTTTTAAAAAAAATTCTTCACAAGAATTCAAGTATTTTCATAAATTTCCATAAAATTCTAAAAAAAGCAATTCAATTATTTTCAAACGTAATAAAATTCTTCGCAGAAATTCAATTATGTTTAAAATTTTTTTTATATTCTCCTCAAAATTTCAATTATTTTCATAAATAATTAAATTGTTCTCCACAATTCAATTGTTAATCAAAAATTTTAATAAAATTCTATGAAAACATTTAATTATCTTTATAAATAATAACATTCTTTTAAAGGATTCAATTATTTTTATAAATACTAAAATTCTTGACAGAAAGTCAATTAGTATCAATAACATTTTAATAAAATTGAATTAATCAACGTTTCAATTACAATTATGAACAGACAAGATTATTTAAATTTTTTTTAAAATTCTTTGTTTAATTTAGTTAATTTCCAAAATTTTAATTAAAAATATTCAGGGTTGCCACAGGTCAGGGAAGTCAGGGAAAAGTCAGGGATTTTTACTAAAAATACTGGAAAAAATTGAATTTTTAAAATTCATGAGAAAACTTTGAATTTTTTTCCTTTTTGCCTCGTAAATTATAAAATTTCCTTGAATTTTAATACAAAACCTTCAATTTTTTCAATTTCTGACAATAATTTCTTTTTAAATAACTTAATTTTTCAAAAACTATCATAAAATTATTACTTATAAATTATTTTATAAATAATTTTTACAGTTTTCATAAATACTAGATTGATAGAAGAATTTCAGTTAAAAATACTAAAAAAAATTGGATTTTTGGAAAAGTTACAAATGATTACAGAAATTCAATTATTTTTAAAAGTTACAAAAATTCTTCGCAAAATTTCAATTATGTTCAAAAATAAAAAAAAAAATTCTCGTCAAAATTTCAATTATCTTTATAAATAAAAAAATTCTTCATCGAAATTCAATTATTTTTAAAAATTTTAATAAAATTCTTGTTAAAATTCCACAGGAATTCAATTATTCAATATTTAATAAATTTCTTTGAAATAATTTAATTATTTTCATAAGTAATAAAATTTTCACAGGAATTCAATTATTTAAAATACAAAATTTCATAAAATTTTTCGAAAAATATCAATTATATAAAAAGATTTTTATAAAATATTTTCATGAATTCAATTATTTTTATAAATAATAAAATTCTTCACCGAAATTCAATAACTTTTATAAACTTGAATAAAATTCGTTGTAAGAATTCAATTATTTATATAAACTTGAATAAAATTCGTTGGAAGAATTAAATTATTTTAAAAATAATAAAATTCTTCGCAGAAATTCAATTATATTCAAAAATTAAAAAAGAAATATTGTCAAAATTTCAATTATCTTTATAAATAATAAAATTCTTCATTGAAATTCAATTATATTTAAGAATTTTAATAAAATTGTTGTCAAAATTTCGTAGGAATTCAATTATTTAAATTTTAATAAATCAATTCAAAATAATTCCATTATTATAAAATTCTTTATGAGAATTCAATTTTAACAAACATTCAATTATTCAATAAATTATTTATTTTTTAATTTAAATAATAGAATTTTTTAGAATTTTCTAATAAAAGTTAATTTAAAAATGAATAAACGAATAATCGATTTATTATTATTTATAAAAATAATTGAATTATTGCAACGAATTTTATTACATTTTTTTTAAATTATTGAATTTTTTTGTGAAATTGTACTTCTTGTAAAAATAATTGAATTCTTGCGAAGGATTTTTTTAGGATTTTTGTAAATAATTAACTTATTTTAAAAAATTTTATTTTATTTTTTATTTTATCACTCCGAGTCTTCGACTCGGAGTGATCGTCTTCTTCATGTTTTGTAATAATATTCTTATAAGTTGTTAAATTTCAAAAAGGTTTAAATTTGAATATTTTGAAGAATTTTAATTCCTACAGAAAAATAATAATGATTAAATATTTATTTAGGAAAGAAGTTATTGATGTTTTTGAATAGTTTTACATTTAAAGAAATTCGTTATTAAATGTAATGGAACATTTTTTTTTTCAGTAGGTATTTAATTATTTTTAGAGTGAATCAGAATATTCCTTAGTGTCAAAGAGAAAGTCAAAATTTTGTCTGGAATTCAGGGAACAGTCAGGGAAAATGAAAATTAAATTTTTGTCGCAACCCTGTTGATTGAAATACAATTTTTCCCCGAATGAATACCTTTAGAAGATTGCAGTATCGTCATATTAAAAAAATTAGCCTTTGCTCAAGTGATGTTATCTAAATAAACGTCGTCAGAGATCACGAAGTATCTAGCCAAGCTGACAACAAAGAAAAGTATAAATAAAAAAAAAAGAAAAAAAAAAAAAATGCTACATAGCTGATGACTCCTTCCATTCTTGACATCGTCACCACGAGTAACATGATCTCTTTACTCTTCGAAGCCCACATCAGCCCCCTTGCCCCACCCCACCGTGACTCCCTTTCGTTAACCCCGACCCAAAGATTCAAAGACACCCATGCGCTCGCGCGCTACCCCCTGTGTTCCATCATGCGCATGAAGTCCGTTGCTGGAAGACTAAAGGTTGGGAGGATGGGGTTGAAAAGCGCGCGGGAGGGGATATGGAATGAGGAAAACGGGGTTTGGTGAGGGTTGGGTGTTTCATGTGTGAGGGGTGGTGGGTGTCAAGGGGCAATGGTGAAGTTTCTCAACGCTCGATGGCGTACCAGTGCGGATCGTGATTCCGCGGGACGCGCAGCGTCGCGACGCTCCTGTTACCAAATTCCTCTAAATAAAGGATAATTTTTGCGCATATAAAAAAAATTTTTGAAAAATTATTCTAGTTGTATCGTGAAATTGAATTAATGTTCTCGTTTCTTCATTGAGGTGTTTAGAATTTTTTGGAGGATTATTGTTAATTTTTTTTTATTTTAGTGGTAATTTTTGTTTAGTTAGTTAATTAATTTTTTTTTGTTTTTTTAATGGCTTCTTTTTTCTTCTTTGACTCTTTTTGTGCTCTGATGTTACTACTGAGATTTTTGTATCACCTTTTTTTTTGGTTTTTATACTTTTTTTCCTGAATTTTTGGTTCTCCACTTTGTTTTATAGTTCTCCAATTATTTCTTTAGGAAGTCTTTATTCTTTTCTTGTTTATTTTTTCTTTGTTTTCTGGTTTTAGTTCACTGATCTCTTTTTTATTCTTTGGATGGATCTAAATTTTTTGTGGTGTTCTCCAAGTTTGGTCCCTATTGGTTTTTTTCTACTTTTCGAAATTTTGGTTTTACAGTTTTCTTGAGACTATCAAATTGATACCAAAATGGATCAAATTGATACCAAAAGTTTGGATTATGATTCAATCCATCTTTTTGGTATCAATTTGTTGCAATTTGATACTTTTAAGTTAACAGTGTTTACATTTTCGTTTGGTTCTCAAAATCTTCTTTGATTTCAAATTTTTTTCTATTTTCAAGTTTTTCTGGTGGTTCTCCAGTTTATTTGTTGCTTTTACGTTCTGTTTTGGTTGTCAAAAATTTTGTTGTCTCCATATTTTTGGTTTTCTGTCTCACAGTTTTTGGAGAACTGTTCTTGATTCTATGTTCTACGCTAAATTTTTTATTTTCTTTCCATCTTGTTTTCAATTTTTTTTGTTTTGTCGGTTTTTGATTATTTTTGGTTTCGGTTCTCCAGTTTTTGGAGAACTTTTCTTGATTTTATGTTCTCCACTAAAATTTTTTATCTTCTTTCTCTTGTTTCCAAATTTTTCCTTTCCTTGCTTAATTTTTGTTTCGTTTTTGTTTTCTTTTCGTCTTTTTATCGTTTGCTTATCGTTTTCTTATAGTTTTCTTTTCGCTTTCTTTTTTATTCTTTTCGTTTTCTTTGGATTTATAAAAGGATTTATATTTCCCGTTGTTTTTTTTTTCTTTTGGTTTCACTACGGTTTTTCTTCTTCGTTTCCTTCTTTTCCACTATTTTTTCTGTTCTCGTCTGACTTTTTTTTTTCTTGAAGTTCCCCGAGGCTTTTTCTTCTTTTTCTCGTTCTCCAACTCCCTTGATCTTTCGCGCTACATTCATCTTGCGCAACGATATCTTCGGTTATGGTTGAGGCACACCGAGGCTTCCGGAGTGCGGATATCTTGATTTGAGATGTCCAAAAAAGAGAGAAAAACGGGGGATTTTCAAGTTTTCTGCAATTCTTGCCTTCACTTGTCTGTGGAATACAATAAAGAATAAATACACCGAAAACTTTTTCTTTTGTCCAGCAAGTTTAGTAGCTTACATTCCGAAACTGTTTATATTTCTTTTCCTCTCGAAAAGAATCTCTCGTCTTGAATATCAACATCTTTTTTGAAAAATGTTAAAAATTAGAAATTTTGCACTCTGAATTTGAATTTTATAAAAATTCCACCATTTGCCTGTTTTTCTGTCTTCGATTTTTATTTTTCGTTAATTTGAAGTTTTCAAGTCATAGTTTTTCTAAGGATATCAAATTGAGAAAAAAAAACGAATCAAAATGTTGCTTCGCAACACTTTTGATTCATTTTTTGTCTCAATTTGATATCCTTTGAAAAACTGTGGTACTGAATGAAAGTTATTTTTGTTCTAATGACTTTGACCTAATTAACGTTAAAGACATTTTAATTATTCTTTAATTTAATTAATTGGACTGTTATTAAGTTAATTAAATTAATAACATTGAATTAAGTTAATAATTTATTACATCTAATTAAATACTTATTAAATCTATTTATAAACTTATTAAATCTATTTAAAAACTTATTAAATTAATAATTTATAAATTTCATAATTACGTCCAGAAATAATAAATTTATTATAATTATCGTTTAAATCGAACAAGAGATTTTCTTTTTGGTCTCTTTTTTACTTTCTCCGTTCTTTTTTCTGCCCTAAATTGTAACTTTTATCATTTTTAGTCTAGTGGGATTTTTTTTAAACTGATGCGGAGCAATCCGATTAAATGTGAAATTCACTCATTCGAGTTTAGAGAGTAGAAATTTTTCGAGTTGATTTGCTTCATAGTCGAAACCCCGCGTAATTAAAATGTCTCGAGATGAATCATGCTAAATGAGTCCCTTTCAATTGAGTCTCCCATTAAGCAAATCAATGGAAGGAGGAGGGGGATTCCTTCGCAATTGAAAATAATTCCGTTGCGGCCTCTCCCAGTGTCAGAATTCATTAATATTTATATCAGTATTTGTAGTCGTGAAATGAAAACATTTACGAAAAATATTCATTAGCAGATTTCTTGAAGACTTTACTTTCTGTACTCTGCATTTTTATTGGTGGATTTTTTTTTTTGAGAATGAAAATACGATTTTGCTAATTGGGTTTTAAGTTCAAAACTTGTATAATGGAGGAGGGGAAATAAAAGAAAAAAGAAGGAAAGAAGGAAATTAAGAAAGTAGAAAATGAAGAAACGAGAATAAGTTTGATTTTAAATCTGCGAAACATTTTTCAGCGTCCAAATAAGAAAGTTTGTTTCCCTCTTGTCGATAACGAGGATAATAGCGGAAAAAAGTGATTTCAAACGTGAAACGTTTAATAAAAGTGACAAATAAAAAAAAAGAAGAAAAAGAAGAGAGGGAGAAACTTTGGTGAATGTGAGACGACTTTTCCCCAGGCTCTCCTTTCTTCTTTCACGAGTGAAATTAGTCATTCGCAACAAGTGTATCGTATCGTTGATATAACGACTCACCGAGATCAGCGACTTTGCCGCGCATGGATAATTAACCTATATGCACTTTCTCTCTTGTTTATGCTCCCATTTCCTGTTTCTCTCTTTCTTTCTCCTCTCACCACCCCCAAAGCACCCACGCTTGTATCGTACAATTGAAAATCTCGTCCATCGATGATATTCCCAACAGGACAGCGCGATTAATTTCGCAAAAAGCTCCTCCCTCTCCTTCCCTCAAATTTTCAAACCCAACCTCTGCTCAATCGAATCTCATCAACTTTTAATCATGGAAAAGCCCTTTAATACATGCGGTATCATCATTCAGGCATGATATTCAGCAAAAGTTTTCGCGATGAATACAAAAAACTGATTCAAATGGTTCTAAATAAGAATACACTGTTGAATAGAGTTGGTTTTATTATCCAAATGTCATTAGGAATTTGCTTCTAATACACGTGGGAATTTTTTTGTGCCTCTTTTTTGTTCCTTTCTCGATGTGGAAAAAGAAGAAAAATTTGTGCGGTTTCTGATTGAAGAAAACTTCTATAGTCAAATTTTGCCAATTTCAAAGGAAGACTTTTCTCTAGGAAAATAGAATTGTTTTCTTTCCCAGAGGAAAAGTGTTTAGAAAAGTGTTTTTTCCGAAAATCTGTATATTAATGAATTAAATGTGAAAGAAGAAGAGATCGGTGATTGGACCGAGAAATTAAATTTAAGTGCAGTTTTGTTTTTATAACAGTTTGTGGGTTTTAATAAAGAGACTGTGTTTGGACTTGTTAAAAATTGAAATTGGGAAGAAGGGACCTAGTTGTTGTTTGAAAAGGGACAATTAGCGTGAGACTTTGAAACAATAGTGTGAGTGCAAATGAATTCGGTGAATAATGTGAGCCACATTGGTCGGAACCTTGTGCTTCCTGACTTGGGCAAGCAAACGCAAATGTACAGCCGTGCATTCGTTCATTTAAATACGTTAGAATGTGAGGCACTCTACCGGAAGAACCCTCACACGTCGAATCGGTGTTGATAAAATTAAATGATGGTTCACGTTTCACGTCGACGAGAGTGTAATAAAACTTCCGTCAGCATGGATGCCTGTAAACATAGAGGGATTATCTATGCTTATTTCGTCTGGTTAATCATCGACACCGTTGCTGCCGGTCGTATTTTCGGTGAGAGAAACGCTATAAAAAAAAGAAATTATTACACATTTTTATTATTTTTTTTTGCGTTGGAAATTGTGGTTTTTTACGATATTTTTTTTGTCTCTCTTTTTTTTTTTTAATAAAAACCGAAAATGTAATTTTTCTCTGCAAAAATTGATATTGCTGAAAAAGAAATTATTGGGGAAAACTTGATATTACTGAAAATGAAATTGTTAGCAAAAAATTACTGAGTTTTCATAAAAATTATAATTAATTGCTCCCTTAATTTGAATCAATTAAAAATCATGTTTTTATACAACTGACAATCAGTGACTGACTTTTTACTTCTGAATCAGTTAAAAATAACTGATTTTCAGTAAAAATAAGTGAAAAATTAGTTAAACTTGACTAATTGCATCAGTCAGACAAAGTTTTTATTTTATTATTATTATTATTATTATTATTATTATTATTATTATTATTATTTATTATTATTATTACACGAAAAAATTTTACTTGTCGGTTATCAAATAAATAATCTGTTATCAAATAAATATTTACTTTAATCAAATAAGTTTCATTTAAATCAAATAATTTGTACTTATTTCAACAAATAATTTCAGTATTCGAAATAAATACCATTTAATTGATTTAAATAGAAATTATCTGATTCAAGTATAAAATATTTATTTGATAATAGACTTAATTTATTTATTTGATTACTTAATTTGTTATTCGAATTAAATAATTTTTTTTCAGTGTAGTTACTCTAAAAAAAAGATATATTTGATTCAGAATCAACTAAACATTTTATTTGTTTCAAAAAAGTTTTATTTAGTTAAAATAAGATTTTATTTGTGTCGAATTAAATTTTTATTTAAAACATATAATTTAGTATAGGCTTTGAGAAAACAATATTTTTATCTAACTAAAATAAATTATCTTTTATTATATTTCTATTTTTATTACTATATTTGAATCAATAAATTACATTTTGCTACAAAATTAGTTTATTAATTTATAGTATTAAATTCGAAAACTAATTTTGTAACAAAATGTCAATTTATTATTACCTATACAAATTTAGTTTTTTTAATTAAATAATTAAATTAAAAAACTAATTAGTAATTCGAAATACGATTTTTAATTTAAATTATTAAATCAAAAAATGAATTTTGTTGCAAAATGTCAGTTATTCTTTCAAATATTAATATTTTCAGCATAAAAATGATTTAAGTTGAATATTATTAAATATTTAACGTTTTATCAATTTTGTATTTTTAAATTATTTCACTGAAAATAGAAATAAGCGGCATATTTTCGTTGGCAATATTCAGAATAGTAATGTTTAAATTAATCATTTTTAAAAAATTTCCAACCAGTAAAATTGTGAATAATGAAAAGTTGATAATTTTTTGTATAAGAAACTTTAATTAAAATATCGATTGAAAATTGAAGATTTAAATGTTTAAAATAAGTTGAAGTTTAAATTTAAGTTTAAAAATATATTTTTATTTAAAAACTCTTACTCTTAAAGTTGAATGTTATACTGCATTATTAAAGAATGTGTAATATTCTTAAAATTCACCTCAGGAATCGATTTTCTTTTTCTATTTCGAGCAATATGTAATAATTTGATTAAATATATTTTTATAATTTGAAAAAAATTATAATCGGTCATTTTTTTCCAATAAAACTTATTAACTTAAAAAAAACTTTCTATAAAATAAAAAATTGGTTCATATTGTTTTTAGTATAATTTAATTTAATGTTAATTAATTTAAAATTTAAATTTAATATTTCGTGAAAGCTAGATTTAAGAAAATTTAAATTATTGATACATGTCAAGTGTTTGGCTATTTGTATTTCAAAGTTGAGCATCTCACTTTAAATTTCAAGAAAAAAAAAATTAAATTTCATATGTAGTTTTATCTCAGTTTTTTTTAAATGAAAAATTAATGGAGAGACATATTAAATCTGGTAATATTGAAAAATTTATTTTTAATACAATGCTTTAAAAACTGAATATTTATAATTGAATTATATGCGGTACGTTCAACTTTGATTAAATAACAAAAGCCGAATAAGTTTAATTGGTGAAATTTGTCGAGATCGTGAATATCAAATTTTTTCATTTGATAATTTTTGTTATTTCTTTTTATAAATCGTAATTGGAGAAAATTATGTTTGAGTTGAAATATTTATTAAAATTTTTGTGCGAATATAATTTTTAATTCTTTATTAATGTTTAAAAAAATTGAAGACTGGTTTTGATTTCCTAGCTATAAATATTTACTCATTTAATTCAAATTAGGCGACAATTAGATTATTTAAATAGCACGAAGTCAGTTAATGATTCATATAATTTATTATTTATTTTAAATTCAATTATTGTTTATATTTTTTTCTACTTTAAATTTATTTTTATACTTATTTCTATTTATTTATTTTTATTTCTAATGAAGTAAGTACGTTGAATGTAAATAGTAATGGAGTAAAAATTAATTAGGTAAAATATCAAGTATTTTGTTTATAATAAGCTTTATTTCTTATATAAAATAATTTTATAAAATCTTCTTTAGATTTTGTTAAAGTCTAATAAACTTTCTTTTCATTAATTTATTTATAACTAATATAATTTTTTAACTAAATAGTCAGACAGTATTTTAGAGGTTGGGGGCGTAAAAATATATTGTTTAATAAATTGAAAATTTTATGAATATTTAGAATTTATTTTTAAAACGTTTTTCTATCGACAAAAATGACTTTTTGATTTATATTTTCTTGGAAGAAAGATTACTATGGTTTATAAATCGATATCAGTATTATCAATCATCTTTATGGATATCACATAATTTTGATGATATATTAGGTTATCATTTTTGATTCGCAAGATGAATTTTTATTTCGACGGTTACAATATTTGGCATTTGAAGAATATCCCAACTCGAATGGGGAGAGATTGTATTTGAAGATATTACTTGAAAAATTGTTTTTATACGTGATGCTCCTTGGGAAGCATCAGTAGTCTCGTTTTCATCTAAATACGTATACCAGGTGAAAAATGCAAAAGATTTTCTCCTTTTAGATTTTCATCTTACCTGCGCTCTATTCTTGTCTTTTACTCTTTTATTTTATTTTTCTTTTTAATTATTGACACTGCATATTTTTCACTCTCTTTTCCTCTTGGGAATATAATTGAAATTCTGCTTCTTATAGTTTCTTTTTACCAATATTATTTGAGTTATTAATAAGGAGTTGCTTTTGGAGTCTTGTAATTATTAATAAATTATTTAATTTATTATTCAGTTTAGCTTCAATGGTGGACGAAATTTATTTTTGAATTCATTAAATAGTAATTTAGTTTTCTTATGAGAGATCGAATTTTCTGGTATATTTTTATGTTTGTAGAGTTGAAAGTATTTTTATTGTGTACGGAAAAAAACGAATGTATTGTAACTTTTGCTATTTTCATAGTAAAACTTACACTGATAGAAATTTCTTCACAGTTTTGTCAATTTTTACTATTTTTGGAGTAAAATTTTCTACGAAAGAAGTAGATTTTTGTAAAAATTAGTGAACGTTGCTTCGCAATTATTTTCATACGTTTTTTGTCTCAATTTAATATCCTTAGAAAAACTGTGCAAAAAATGATTAAACTGTGCAAAAAATGATTAAGATACTCAAAAAAATGTTCTATTGCATCTATTTACGAATTTCTTTAATTGTAAAATTATTCGAAAACATTAAATAGTTTTATTTAAAATAAATATTTAATCATTATTATTTTTTCATTTCTATTCAATTATAATTTTCAAGAATTTTTAAATATAAACAATTATTTTTAATAATTTTTTACATCTTTTTTGAGAATTTTCACTTTTCATTTATTTATTTTACTTTAACTGAAATTAATTTTTAAATCAATTTTTATTAGAAAATTCTACGAGAATTAAATTATTTAAATGCAAAATAAATAATTGAATGTTTCTTAAAATTGCGTTCTTATAAAGAATTTTATCAATAAATTTTTAAACAATTAAATTTTTTCTACGAATTTTAATTGAATTTTTAAGAATAATTGAATTCTTTTAAGGAATTAAATTAAAATTGAACTGAAAAAAATTGAATTTCTGTGATAAGTTTTATTATTTATGAATTAAATAATTGAATTTCTAAGAATAAATTTATTATTTATGGAAATAATTAAATCCCTGAAAAGAATTTTCATATTTATTAAAATAATTAAATTATTGCGAACAATTTTACAAAAAAATTTAAATAATGGTTTTTTAAAAAATTTTTATGCGAATTCTATTTTAAATAATTGAATTCCAGTAAAATTTTTATTATTTTAGAAAACAATTTAATGTTCGTGTAGAAATTTATCAAAATTTTTTTTTTAATATTAGAAATTTGTCATGAAATTTATTAACATTTTTGAAAATAATTGAAATTCGGCGAACAATTTTGCTATTTATAAAAATATAGTTCAAATGTTAACGGGAATTTTTGTTGTTGAAATTTTTAAAAATAATTGAATTTCTGCGAATTTTATTACTTTTGAAAATAATTGAATTCTTGTGATGTAGATTATTATTTATCAATATAATTGAATTTTGAAATGAATTTCATTAACATTTCTGAAAATGATTGCATAGATTTTCTAAGGATATCAAATTGAGACAAAAAACGAATCAAAACGTTGCTTCGCAACATTTTTGATTCGTTTTTTGTCTCAATTTGATATTCTTAGAAAAACTGTGTGAGTTTCTGGAAAGAATTTCTCTATTTATCAAGATAATTGAATTCTTTTGAAAAATTGCGAATTTAAATTAATTTCAAGTACATTAAAGTACCTTGAATTTAAAGTATTGAAATTATTATCGTATATTTTTAACTAAACAATTATTTTTAATAATTTTTTACAAAGTTCTTTTGGGAATTAATTTTCAATTTTCATTTATTTATTTTACTTTAATTCAAATTAATTTTTAAATCAATTTTTATTAGAAAATTCTACGAGC